ACGATAGTATTACTAGCGACACTAATATCTATATATACTATACACTTTAATAGTGTAAAAGATAATCATCTAACTTTAAAGCGCAATCTATATGCTAGAGGAAACATCAACTATGCAATAGCCCGCCACCGTAACATAAACCCAGCATCCCATTCCCATTCCCAAACTCAAATCAAATACAATAAAAGCCCTAAACAACCCCATCCCCTAAAATCTCAAATAGGAAAAATCAAGCTTGGTCGTCAGAGCAAAGGATCTCTCGAGTAAAGCAGCGCACGCGACCCATTAAGCCCCAGCATATCCGGAGCCCTAGCATACAAGCTCCTCCTACTACTATTCCCCCTCCTTCTCCTTACAATAGATGGCTCTTCCAAAAATATTCTCGTGTGCCCGCTCATGCCGGCCGCTATCAAAGTAAAAACCCACGTCATCCACTGAAGCGTCGACATTACCTTTCCAATATCAACATCTAATTGTCTCTGAGGTTTCCCCTGCCAAAGATCTAGATTATACGGCTAGCGCAGCACCGGTAGATGTAAGAATACAACTTCATTTTATTCTAATTTTCAACTCCCATTTCCTGTTCCACTCGAGATAGACACACCGGCAGACTTCATTATATTAAACGAATCATTATTGTCCCAATCCAATCCATTTCCTTCTCACCATCCCATTCAAACCGTAAAATCCACACAAAATAAAAGTACTAATCGCTCCTAGCCCTAACTACCCAAAACCAAATATAACTGCCACCTAACCAACCCAACCAATCTATCCCTAAACCGAACACTCGACAAATTGCCCCCATAACCCCTTCATTCCCTGTCCCCATCCCTATCCCCATCCCTATCCGGCACAAACAAATCCACAAATTCACAAACAGACATACCAAAAAACTCCATACTCTTTGAAATTTCCAAAATCCTCTCAATCCTCCCCTCACTCAATTTCCGCGCAAAGTTCCTCATCGCTTTCTGCTCTACCAAGGCCAGACTTTCTCTTCTCCTCGCGTGGCCCTGCGGGAAATGTATCACGATTTCTTCTAACTCCGTATCGTCGTTTAGAGTCACTTTAATCGCGTTAGCGAGACTGCGCAGATCTTGATTATGGAAATCTTTTGTAAATTCTGTATCTTCTTTGATGGAGATTTTATCTCTCAGTTCCTCTACGCGGGGATCTTTGGACCAGGAACTAGTGTTTTGGTAATCTTCTGCTTCGGGTAGTGCGTTTTTGAGAAGCGTGATGGCGATCATGTATCCGAGGCTGTGGTCGCGCTCGGAGGGTGTGTGGAGCGCTCCTTGTTTGTTCATTATTACCATTGCTGCTTCCTGCGTGCGTACTTGAATGCTCTTGATGTCGGTCGTGGATAATTTCTTTTCTTTTAGTTCGGTGCAGACCCATAGTGCGGCCTCGAGTGCAGTCATGCCATGGCTTTCTGCGGTGTAGACTTTGAAAAATACATTTTCGATTACGGAGGTACCGAATGGTCGTGGGAGGTCAAATGTGTTACCTCTGAATAACACATCGTAGAATCCTGATCGTGGAGCACTCAAATGCGGTTTTCACCCTGGGTTGTCCCAGTCTTCGCCATAAGTGCCAGCTGTACAGCTCGCATGCATGCATCGCCCGCCGCCCAGTTTTTTCTAGGTCCAACGTTGGGCGCTTGACGATATGCACGGAGAGGGTTACCATCGATCCAAGCGTGGGAAACGGCGGCTTTGGCTTGTGCTTTAGGAAGCTTCATCAGCCAGGATACGACGGCTGTGGAAGCTACTTTAACGAGGATGATGTCATCGAGACCGGCTTTGTTGAAGGCATTTTTGCCTTGGAAACAGCCTTGAATTTCGTAAGCTTTGATGAGAGCGATGAGGACATGGCGCATGGTTAGAATGGAGTCTTGGTCGTCTTTGGAGGTGGCTACACGGCTAAGAACGTCGGCCGTTGATAGGATGGCTCCGAGGTTATCTGAAAGAGGGTTAGAGAATCATTCGCTGCGTAAATAAAGTGACTTGCATCATACCTGATGGATGAGTCCATTCTGCGCCTAAATAAGCATCATTATGATTGAGATATCTAATCATAGCACCCATATCAAAAGCCCCCTTTACCATATCCAGCTGATAATTTGTTCCAGGCAACTTAAAACCATTGGGAATAGTATCTGGAGAAGGGAAAGTAGGTCCCACAAGTTGAGAGAGTTCGGAACTTGTGGTGATGCTTTCGATACCGGCTCCGATAGCATCAAGTAAAGCTGAAGTTGCACGCGTCCATGCTAGAGGAGACGTAATCTCATAGTCGTATGTGTAGTCGATGATCCTGGTTATTTCTTCATCGTAGCATGTGATGCCGTTTCTGTCTACTCTCACATCCCTCATCCTGCGAGGAATGGAAGCCGTAGAGGCAGATATTGGAATTTCTATCATCTTCATGGCGAATGTGTTGGATAGGGTGACGAGAAAGAAAAATAGGATTAATGGTAATAAAAAGAAGAATGGAAATGAGAACAAAAACTGAGAAAAATCAAGAGGTGATGAGACTCCATATATCTTTGCATTCTGGAGGCACTTGTCTCCCAATCCAGACTTCAACCTACCAGAAGAAATTGATCTACATAAAATACTTGGCCCAATAGTATTTTAATCATCAGGATTAACAACGAGGTAATAAAGCGTTCGCATGAGGGGTAGACAACCATCCAAGTAGTTCCAGGGCGTACATAACCTTACAAGCTGGGGTGCTCGCTAAAACTTAGCGCGCAGAGTGTTGTCAAACACGAACATTCTAGCCTTCCTCTCCCTATTTTCGGTTCTTCACCAAACCTCATCGTCCACTGCATCGCATACAACTCGACACAAAACCAGGCGGAATTTCACGAATGTAGCCCCGAGATAAATCGAGGATATTGGTTGGCAGATGTGTGTCCTTCGAATTCGAACATGCAGATTTCTCCACTGCGTTCGTTGGAGCCACAGCACCTGGTGATTATCCCTGCCAAGCTGCATTGACGTGCGGCCACGCATGTCGATTGAAAATTGATGACACGACTTGACCACGATAGACGATGTGAATTGTCTTTTCGGATTTGTATGATGTTATTTATCTATAACCCGATAGCATTGCTTGTAGATCTGCTTAATCAAATTGGATAGGTAATGCTTGTCCTCCGTAACACGGCTCACGTTGGGTTGAGATTCGGAGCCATTATCCCGATAGCTTTCAGGTACCTATCAACCATTGATTATTAAATGGTAAAAGAAATTATTGGTTAGAGCTTTAGAGCAACGCTCCCCATACACCACCAACCAATGCACTTTTGTACAAGAATGAATGCTTGATCTTTCAAATATCGCAATGGGGAAACACAAAAAAGCAAAAACATACAACAGCAGGGATTCGCTGGTGGTCACCCACCCAACTACTAATCTGCCGATCTGAGGCTTGTGTATGGCAGAGCGGACGGGATGCCCAATTCTCCTTAGTCTATGGTCGTATGTGCCAGAAGTTACTCTACGTAGTTTATTATTAATTAGATTACATGTTTGTTGACTTCGAAATTCAGCGGAGCTAAAAAATTCAACAAGCAAAAGAGTCAAGATAGATAGGAAGAACTTACCTGTTATTGATCTAAAAATTCAATATATTAAATACAAAAGACAAATAAACCATATTTTATTAGATGTGAAAATACGAAAGAGTTCACCTTAATATATAGATCACATGGTTAGTATTATAAACATGTCTAAAATCACAAGATTAATCCGATAATCTCCTCAGAAAGATTCGCTTTAGAAACTAGGTATTTAAAGCAACTCGCAGCAGCTTTATCAAAAGGTAGTTGTGACTTTTTGGGAGCAGGTTATACATAAATCAAAGGATCTAAATGGATCATTCTCGACAGACACGTACGGTCTAGCTACACCAGCAATAATTTCTCAATTTCGGACCCAACACTCTGATATGTTATATCTGATGCTTCTTTTATTTCCGTCGAGATCTTCCTGTAATATTAACTGAAATGTCTAACATCTTCCACCAAACTATTTACTCCCCTAGATTGCGTGGCGACCACCAAAGCTGTTTTGGATGATATCGACAGACTTTCCCCATTTATCCGTGTAGTTATATATAACAAGAAAACCGCACTATTAATACTTCTATACTTACAAGTTTGTTTCGAGATCATATAGATAGGGAATTCGAAGCCTTTTCGGCTCAAGGAGCCGATAAATCTTCAAGGATTTATCTTTTTCTTCCGCTGTGTGGATACCCTTCCTTGTTCGACGCCATAACCAATGGTTTCTCCTTCTTGAGGTTATTAACTAAGCTCCAGGATTTTAGAATTGGTCTATACACCGAGCTCGTCTAGCCACGCCCCCAAAAGAGAATCGTATGGCGGTTGGCATGAATACTTCAGGCAGTACCATGGAGGCCTTCAATATCTATATTGCATTGTCAATATCAGCGCAGTAAAAAATGACGCATCCTTGTGAGTTATTCCTTAGGATTCAGTATTCCATGTGTTTATTTTATACATTAATCGTAAAACTCTGGTATGTATGTTGTACAGATCAATAAATATCAATGGCATTCAACGATATACACACAAGCAGATCATTCGCCGTACTTGGATCAGGCAAAAATGTGCAACAAACATTGATTCTCTACTGTATTGGGGTTCTGAGAGGGATAAGGTTGACATATCTACACTAAAGATCGCCAATTTTCATGTACCTGAAAGCTTCTTCTATACATAAAGTAATGTGATGGGTTCAAGCCGCAGATAAATTAACTCACCGTCCCACTATAGTAATATTAAAACCAGGAAGAAATGTCAGATGATTCCACGCAGAGGTAAAAGGATTAGAACCAGGGAGATCAGTTTCTTGGTCTCCCCGTACTCACATAAAAGTCACCTGTTGTTCAAGGCTTTCTAAAGAGTAACCCCTCATTTCCTAGTCGACTTACAGACTTTGAGCTGTTGACTAGCCAAGTGATTGTGGCCGAAATATACTAAAAGCTTTGGGGTCATTTCCTATGCCTTTTGTACATTCACCGCTACTGTGTGAGGATTTTCGTAGCCACAAATCGTTGATCCTAAACCTTTAGCAAATCGTGTATGTTAAGACGTAGTGGCAATTCGTCCTTGCATACTGTAACACATCATGCTCTTTCCCCCGCATTTATCACGATGTCAAGATCGCTTGCAGAGCCAAGAAGATAGAAGAGCCTTCTTACATACATTAATTATTGTGATTGATTTTGTGTCACCATTGTGTAGTCGGCTTTCATGGCTCGGCTTTTGTTGCCCAAACTAGTGGAATCTTGCATTTTGAGGCTGTAATAATTTTTCACATATAATGCCAATAAGATGGCTTATCAAATTTGCCTGTTTACGTTTCACTTGCATAAGGTTACACAACATCCATATGTTGATGCCTAGAAGAGATGCCTACCTGCAGTCCCTTTTGCCAAGTGAGGCTAAGCTAGAACAGATCCTCCATATTTGAAGGCAGCTTCAACTTCAACTTCATAAGTATCAACCTCATTCAGCTTCCAGTGATTGCCACTTAGCACATATACCTGTTGGGCTTGAATCAGCTGGACCATTTCCGATAATGTGAGAAGTGATCAAGCCGCTTTCTTGGGGAATTTGTGCTAACATAGGTATTTTCGCCCTACACAGTTTTACAGCAGGAAGGCACGAATGCCTTGCTCACGCGATATTTGTCGTGGATGAAACAGGCATAGAAAACGAAATATTATAACTCAAGGCTAGGATTGAAAGTAATGTAGTTGTCTAAATATCTGAACTGTTGCACGACAACAGCATTTCTCATCGCTGAATGTCTTGCTTGTGCTACAATAGCAATGGGCAAGGCGGCTTGATGGACTTGTATCGACATAGAAAGAGAGCTAATTGCTGGGCTCCGATATTCCAAAAGCCCCAGAAAACAAAGGATTTCCATGACTAAATTGTTTTGTCATAGAAGGTCCGCAACTTTGATCAACAGGCTCAGCTGATATAACCACAACTTATCATAACACTGAGTACGCGGCTCGAATTGCCATTGACAGGTGAATCATCCCCTTTCATAGATATATCCTATAAAGTTTGGCTTTTATGTGCTAGCCACAATGATCCGAGGAGATAATCTCCTCGGTTTGCCTGGCACCGCTGCATAAAGTCAAAATATCTATATAAGCATCCTTCTTTCGCAATGAAGCATAGTGCCTCAGCAATCTAAGAACAACTAACAGAATCATTTGGAACTTCTTCAGCATCAAAAATTCATCATGCAATTCCAGCTTACAGCACTCCTCCTTCTTCTACCGCTCTCCCTCGCTCTGCCTGAGCCGGTTGCCGAGCCGGTTGCTGTCTCTGGCTTCAAAGAAGTCGAGGCAGAAATTACACCTCGTGATGGGGCCGGTACTCTCGTAGCACGCGCTTGCTCTTACACTACTGGATGCGTATCCCAAAGTGGAGCTAGTGCTGGGAAGTATTGTGGTTTCTGTAAGCAAGTTCGCGGAACCTATCGTGTCGGAGATATCTATCAGTGAGTAGCTCTTCTGTCTATATTTCCTTTCGGTCGGGAACTGTCCATTAAAATTCTCCCATTGTGGTATCAAGAAAATCCTGAGTTGTAACAGTCGCTAATTTCAGAATCTAGGGTTAATGGTGGCTCTGGGTCCTCTAGCTGCTGTAGCTATGGAGCAAGCTCAGTCTGTGCTGCACGCTGGCCAGCTGTCAGCCCAAAGTAACTAACTCCCGGTGATTTATGTAATTCAATCGTGACTAACGTTTGTGATATCAGCGTACTCGTCAATTGCGCCAATAATGGCAGAGGATACTAGCTGCATGAATAGTGGAGGCTTGCGTGAGGACTCACTCATTTTTATCTCAAATACGTGACATGGGTTGCAAATCATCTTACTATATTCGCTGTCTTTCCTTGTGAGATTCGAGAGTAGGATTTCAAACTGATGTATTCCTTCGTTTTATGCAACGAATTTCTTTTTGACATTAATTAGCCCATAACAATAAAAACAGTTGGGTACCTAAAAGGAATCATCACCACTAAGAAACACTATTGGCCGTGTGTATGGGCTTGGATAGAACCACATCGTTTCCCTGCTCACTTCTTCAGGACCTCAATAAAACTTTATCGGTATCATAGAAGATTCCCTGGATGTAAGAGAAAATTCTGGTTTCTTTATCGAACATCTAAATAAGCTTATTTCATTGCAGAGCTTGGAATGGCAGCATTCCGTGACAAGGTTTCGACGCCTGCCAATGAAGTATGCTATAGGAGGAGTTAACCAGAGGGTGGGAAAAAGCATGCTTTCTGCCAGAAATTTGGGAAATTGTGCCAGGCACTCTGAGCAAGAAGGCAAGAGGTATTCCTTTCGAAACATTTGTGTGTATGTATTCATCTCGAGCAAAACATGACAAGTTGAGACTAATGACAGACGCATCAAAGGGATACAAGCATTAATACAAGCATTAATACTCAAAAATACCGCGTATTTTTGGCTTGCTAATATACTCGGGGTATGATGAGTTGTCAAACTTCTGTACACTCGTTGATTTGGATAAAGAATGATCACTATCAAATTATTTACTTTGATTCAGTGTGTGTTTCTACAAACGAAACAAAAGGGGAAGAGTGTGAAGTGGGCCTTTATTGGTCATCGATATCAAAAGTGGGCCTTCAGCCTTGCATATGAAGGCTGCCGAGTTCGGCTTCAAAATATATTTCTAGCCCCGCCATCATTCATGACTCTTTACAATTGAGCAACAACCACAATCTACAATGCCTTCTCGTTCAGATTCCCCGTTCAACTTGCAGACATGCGCTCGCCCGAACATTCTCTCATTAGAGCCTTATCGTTGTGCTCGAGAGTAAGCATTCTACATTCTTATTCCTCATGTCTGTTTACTGACTCACATCTTTCTTTTAGTGATTATAAAGATGATGGGACTAATATTCTCCTCGATGCCAATGAGAACGCCTATGGTCCATCTCTTCCCGGCAGCACCACTTCAAACCCCTCACTCAATTTTCTTGGCTTAAACCGCTACCCCGACCCTCACCAACACCCTCTCAAATCCCTCCTGTGTACCCTGCGCAACACCCATCACCATACCGAGCTCCCTCTCCACCCTCTCAACCTGTTTCTTGGCGTTGGTTCCGATGAAGCAATTGATGCTCTTCTCCGCTGCTTCTGCACACCCTCAGTCGACTCCATTCTCGTCTGCCCGCCAACTTATGGCATGTATAGCGTATCTGCACAAGTCAACGATGTAGCACTCGTCAAAGTACCTTTATTACCAGCTCCAGAGTTTGGTCTGGATGTCCCAGCTATTCTTGATACTCTTTCGAAACCACAACCAAAGCCTATCAAACTCATCTATATCTGCTCCCCAGGAAATCCTACTGGATCTTTGATCCCAAAAGAACAAATCGAACAAATACTCTTGCACAAGACCTGGAATGGTATTGTGGTGGTAGATGAAGCATACATAGATTTTTCACCTGACGGATCGTCACTCGCGGAATGGGTGAATGAATGGCCAAATTTGGTGGTTTTGCAGACACTGAGTAAAGCATTTGGGTTGGCTGGTATAAGGCTTGGCGCTGCGTTTGCAAGTGTTGAGGTTGCAGCGTTGCTGAATAATCTGAAAGCGCCATACAATATTAGCTCCCCTACAGAGGCACTTGCTTCCCAAGCGTTAAAGGAAGATGGATTATCAGTTATGAGGACGCACAAGGAGAAAATTGTGGGACAGAGAGAAAGATTACTGAAGGATTTGCCTAAGGTTAAGGGTGTGGGGAGATTCAGGGGCGGTATAGCCAGTAATTTCTTGCTCGTAGAGATTTTGAACCAAAGTGGAAAGCCTGACAACGAGGTTGCGAGAAAGGTGTATGAGACTCTAGCGGAGAACAGGGGAGTCGTGGTTAGATTTAGAGGTAAGGAACATGGCTGTCTGGGCTGTTTGAGGATAACAGTTGGAACGGAGGATGAGGTAACCAGATTCCTGGGACAAGTTGGTGGGGTTATAGAGCAGGTTTGGAAGGGTGAGGGTGAGAAGGTAGAAAGTGTCGAGGAGGAGCAGAAGAAGGAAGCGGAAGCGAATAATATCTTGGCATAGAGAAAAAGAAATAGACATGTAGATACGCCTTAGATACCATACCTTTTTCATAGATTTCACAACCCAGCACCTTTTGAGACCCGCAAAATCAACGATCTCTATAATGGACGTCCTACCCACAGCCCAAATCCCTAGAAGCCATACAGCTATATTAAATGGGCTAAGAGTGAGGTTAATGAAAAACACATCTCCATTTTCATATCCATCCATCCTCAAACAGAAACCTAAACAGAAACCTAAATATATACCTCACAATCACAACTATAATTTTATGTTTATATTATTCAATCCAATCCACATACTACCTACCTGATACCTACAGACTCCTTTCCGCATCATTTCTTTGGTGTAAATAGGATCTTAAAATTATAGTTTAACAATCTTATTTAACAATTAGAACACTAATTGAAATACATGTTTTTGAGATCAGCCGAATGATTGTTGGATTAAATAATTAAATTGTTAACTTACAGTAGGTTATCAAAATATATATTGAGATGGATGAGTAGATATGTAAGATTATTTAATACTACCCGTGTACTAATTATATAATATTCTACTCTCTACAATTACAAGAAATCTGGTAATCTTACCTATATTGCGATTTATATATCGCCATTTATTATTCTAGTAGTCTTGGCTTGGGTTTTGTGATTTGAGTTTTATTAGAGAGGAAGTTTGATGAGTGGAGTAACCTTAAGTTGGCTCTTCTTTTCGGTATGATTGTTCCATATATAATATAGCGGTATATAGACGATAGGAGGAGCCTGTTTGAGTTCTAAAATTATGTATCTGGTGTAGAGATTTTTAATGTTTAATGTTTTTCTCTTCTTTTTTTTCCCCTTTAGACCAGTCTAGCGAGGCTAAAATATAAATCTTGATACTGTTATAATATGGCTACCTCTGCATAGCTTTGTAGACGAATGAAAATTTAGAAATTATATTTCTCAATTGATGTCTGTTTTTTAATATATAGTAGCAAGCTCAATACATTCCATTCCTCTACACAGCGGAATTGAAATGAAAGGGCATATGATTATATTTAATCGCGTGAAACAATTTTCCATCATCTCATGATCTCATCATCATACTCCCCTTATCACTCTATAAAATGAAGCACAGAGAACAAGCAAATAAAAGTACGAATGTGATTACCAAACTCCGGAGTATGTTTTCCTGGTATACACGTCAGGATACTGCGGCATATCCCTTTTCATACCTAACCTTTGATACTTTGAGTTTGCAAAAATCTCCGAGGAGATAGCAACCTACAACAAAGGTCGGTTCAACAAATAGTCGATGCTAAGCCATTGCTCATGGTTGACTGCATATTTCCCATCACAGTGCTCTTCAACAAAGGCTTAATAGAACTCTTCGTCTGCGATTAATTCGTCCAACTCGTCCTCAGAAAGACGCCATTCTTCCTCTGGCAAATCATCGTCGGTGACTTCAGACATGCCATTTCCTTCAGGAACTAGACCTGCAACCTTGACTGACTCTGGGTGGTATTCCTCGCATGTGCGATTCGGACAACCTACGTCCTGCCGCAAAGTGAACCCGTTACAAGCGCAATACTGATATTGACCCACGTGTGGTAGTTGGCGATCACGAGCACCTGCTGCAACAATAACAGCAAAGACTCTCCAAGGAGAATTCAAATTCCGCTTGAGATCTTTAAAACCTTCGACAATCTTGGATACCTCGCAAAAGGCACAGAAAGCCGGATCAATGTGGAAGTGTTTAGGAATTCCGTGAAGGGTAATTTCGCCTTCCTGGTATGGACCGATATCTTCAAAAACCACGACGAGTCTCTTTAATGAAGGAAACCTAGAAAGTACAGGCAACACGGAGAACGAAAAGTATTCCACATCAGCCCCCGGGGGCGATGATTCAGGGACATTGAAATAAACGGAGCTCACCGCAACTCTCTGTATAGACCTCAATTCATGTCTTCCCAGTCCCTTTTTACCAATTGGACCAATATTCACGTGCTCAAACCAGCCGTTCGTCTCATATTTATAGCCAGTAAGCCAATTAGCAAAGTAGATGACATCTCTATCAAATCTGATGTAGATATTTGTAGGGTTTGATTGCGTTGGGAAGCACAAATTGTAAAACTTCTCCGCGACATATCTAGCTTCTCTGGTCTAAGCAGAGAAATCGTCAGCAAATTTATTAATGTGATAAAGCTGCGTCGAAAGAGCCTCTCGATGAAAATACGTCAAGGAACAGATGGGACAGCGTTAGATTATTCTTACTGTATGTAGGAGAGAAGGTACCCTACAATGGAATGACAAGTACTTGTCCTGGTCCTTGTCATAAATGATATCAATAACGCGTGATTTAGGTAAGCTGAGCTTCCAGATCATGTTACGTAGCTCAGGACATAACTGCTTGAACTTTACAAAAGTCACGGCATTTTTTTTGGAAGTCCACATCGACTTGATCCGTAGCGGGAGAGCCAAGTTCCAGACCATTTACACTCTAGGAATGTATTAGCAATGGAGACTCAAACAGGAAATAAGCTTGAAAGGGAGGGGAGCAGAATCTTTGAGTGATTGACGCTATGATATTGCTTACCTTTGAGACAGGTGACTCCAATGAGGCGGCCATAAAGGCACCCGACATATTGGCCTCTTGAGAAAGTGAAGAAAAGTTTGCAGTATCAGTATCAGTATCAGTATCAGAAGAGATGAGATGGTCTCCATCCTATATTTAGAATGGTAGACAGAAGCTTTCCCTGGCTAAACGGAAAATAATGATATGATTTCGAATGCTGAAGTCAGTTGAGCATCTCTAGGGCTTCGTTGCCACGTAGAATGGAAGGATGTAGATGAATTGCTCCTTGATACTTGTGACGTAATATGTTCTTTGTTGGCCTTTAGATGAAGTATGGCATTCACAAACTTAGACTTGGGATGATATACCTAGTATGAATGACCAGCTGGGAATTCCCATTGACTCTCTTTCGAGGCTTATTTATTTATCAATAGACTTAAGATGAGGTAAGCAAGTCAACCTTGGAAAATTAAAAGACTCTAATCTAAGTGAACTGAAATGAAGTGAAGCGAAGTGAATTGAATTGACTCGAGAGGGAAGGGGCATTAATGATCCGTGCGGTTGCTGCTGTAGAAAAGCAACAATAACAAACGACAACTTCCTTTTTCCTTTTTTGTGAAGAACTTCAACTTTAATCAAACTCTTTTCTTCTCGTATTCTTACTATCAATTTCATTATCTTGAAATGCCTTCCGGGAAAGAAAGTCAACCAAAAAGTGCCTGGGAGGAGCGAGCTCTGTTAGAGCTCCTCTTCAGAGCCCCAAAATCAATAACTGATGATGATTTACTGAGCATTTCCTTGAGCAACTTGGCCAAGAATCTGGACGATAAATTACCAGATTCAGTGATAATGAATATCTACCTTCGATGGCTCGAAATGCATCGCAAAAGCCCATCACATTTATTTAAAGCTTGGCCAAATACTACCAAGCACTGGGTGGAATCACTGAAAAACCGTGGTTTCGACAAGAGGGATGTCTTATCACATGTGGGAGATTTGAGGAAAGCTAATGGTCCATTCAGCAATCAATCGAAAGGATGGGCCGAGGAGAAGTATCCTCCATCCATTGAGGAAATTGAAAGAGTTTTTGATGAAAAGCACAATGCGAAAAGAGATAAATCCTCAGCAAAAGTGGATTCTAATAGAGGTGTGTATCGATCGGATAAATTTTCAAGTAAACCTAGTGGAGGCTTTACTGATCACGTCCCATCAAACTATATCTGCAACAGATGTGGGAAGCATGGTACGAACCCACGTTGAATTACACCTTCATGATGATATGCTTCATCTCTACCCCGGAGATGACATGACAAAGCAACCAATGATCACTAACACTGAACAGGCCACTTGGTCAAACAATGTCCAACAAACATGGTAGATATTCGTGATCAAACCACAATGCAGAGAGAAGATTGCTGACAGAGTTGCAGGATCCTGCCTTTGACAAACAACCACCAGAAACTTACCAATGCTTAATATGCAATAAATTTGGAGAGCATTGGTACTCCTTGTGCCCGAGGAACACAAAAGAAGACTCTATCACCCAAAAACGTTTGGCTGCCGGGATAGATGTTACAACTCGACACAGAAGCTTCGATGAAAGAGATTATTATAAGGCAGGCCTGGGCGGAACATCGAGGCCCGATGATATCAATCACAAAGGTCGGCACCCAGATACGAGGCATTGGCGTGGTGAGAAAAGGGAGGCGTCGGAAAAAGCAGGATCTGTTGAAAAGAGACAAGCGATAGCTTTGAATCACTACAGTGAAGTGTCAAAATTGCCAGTTAACAACGATAAACTCGAACTTCTTGCCGACATCGAAGATCGCATACAGAAGGCCTCAGTTGCCATGGCACAAGAGACAGGAATGTCAATTGAAGGTGTGACAGAAATGACCGGCGTGACCATATCAAATATAGCGACTACCATTATAGCATCGAATCGCAAACGTGCTCGTTCCATAGAGTTTGATGATGTTGGTTGCGAGGAGTATGAGCGAAAAATTAGACAAAAATTTGAAGGTGATGACAAAGACGAGCTGATGCATAGAGCTGATGATGAGAGGTTTTTGCACTCGGACGACGGAAGACAAGATGCAGACTCGGGTGGGATTTTCAAAGAAACAGATCCATTCACTGAAGAATTTGAATTACGCCAGGTCTTGCCATCCCTAAGCTTGATGGATCAAACTGAATGGTCTTCGAAACTCTCACAGCCCGATGTGACCATATGTCCACGAGAAATGTCACCTACGGATACTTCTAGCGAGGATAATATTCAGACTCCCACAGATGATATGGAACAAGCCTGTGATTCGCCACGTGTTCGTTCAGAGACACCAGAGAAAACCTACACTGATTTTGTCAAGAGCTTGATCGAGAATCGAACAGAAGGTCAAATTGTAAACCGAAGAAGACGCCGCCGCACAGCGTTAGAGTATTGGAATGAAGATGATCAACGTCGAATGGGACAATTGAATACTTCAACATCGTAAATTTACATGATCCATCCATCTGTTTGTGAAGTATTGGCACTAACGATAATCAGGTCTCCGCGAAGCTCTCCTACAGTGTCTTCCATGTCTTCACTAGGCTCAGATCGCACAGATGACGCTATCGACGTAGACCATCCATCTGAACAAGCTCTTAGAGAAGACCCTTACTTCAGTCTTGATAATAATACGCCGGAGTCGCCAGGTTGTCATACCGCCATGCAAGAGGCAATGCCCGGGGTCTTAACACATGTTTCAAATAAAACATATTGAAGGATGTTGATAATGATTTTTTGTAGCCACGAGGCGTTGTCCGACATGGCAGGAACTAGAGAATAGATGATACGGCGGGTGTTGATAGTACAGACAGCTAATTGCGATATCTGGGCATTTTATCACGCAGACTTTGAAATTGCTGTCATATGAAGGTTAATTGCTAAGAGATATGCTAGGATTGAGTAGCGGGCAACAAGGAAAGAAGATTTTAGCACGCGGTTCTGTACAAGGAAAAAAATATATGAGTCACAGTACCTCAAATAATGTTGACACATGCGTGACAAATTTATTTTGACTGTAACTTCGCCTTGCGCCAGTCTTCATTCCTGCAGATGAACTCCAAACTCCTAGCTATCCCTTTGGTATCAACTTACTGACCACTGCCATTACTATTAGACAATTTGGCGGACCTGCCCCTTACGTCCCTACACTCATCATTCCAACTTATCCAAATGTTCCAATCTCGTCAACACAACCTGTTTACTCGTCTCCTCTATTTCCCCTGCTAAAAACACTTCATCTAATATAGCATACACCTATCATCACAACACATCAGTACCATTCCCTTTCATCCCCTTTTCCTTCCCCTTAACCACCCTTCCCCGAAAAATAAAACATACCTTATAAAAATTAAACACCAAATCCAATTCACACACATTCCCAAAAAAGCTATCCAGCACCTCGACAAAAAAATGTATAGCCTCTAGATACGCTAATTCATTATCATTCGCATCGACGCATGCGCAGAAAAAGAGGCCCGCGTAGCGTCGATACACGATTTTATTATTGCGGAACTCGACGAAATTGGATTGGTATTTTTGGTCGCGCGGTGCGACCAGTCGGTGGACCTGTAGGGGGGGATTGTTAGATTTGTGCTAGGATGGAATGGATGGGATGGGGAGGAATATATATGTACGTACTTCGCCTTTGAGCTTGATCTTCTCTTCGTCGTTGTAGGGGGCGTACCATTTTGCGAGTCGGGTTTTACCTCTGGGGATGAGTGGTTAGAGATGCGGAAATTTCGGATGGGGTTTTAGAGGGAGAAGAGAGAGGGAGAAGAGGGAGGGAGGGGATTTATTTACTGGCGGTTTTGGATTAGGATGAAGGAGAGGACCATTTTCACTGGATTGGGTTGGGTGCTTTGAATGTTTGAATGGGAGATGCATTGGATGATGTTATTGAGGTCGGAATATTACGGTGGCCGATTTTGCTGCAGTTCTAAAGGGATGTGAAGAGTCTAGATCAATCAGCCTTACCGAGGCCGGTAATAAAACTTTGTGTCATAGCCACTAAAAATAGACTTTTGTCACGGTTCATCATTAGGATTAGTGTCCTGAGGCAAATAGAAGGATCACGTGATGGATAGACTGGATAGACTAGTCTATCCAGTCTAGGGGATAGCCTAAGTAGACCAGTCTATCCAGGCTATCCAATAGCATTCAGGAGTATATAATCAGAGTAGTTTCATAGTATAGGAGCTTTGTGCTCAATTTAGTTATCAATTAGTTTACCTATATTCTACTTGATCTAATAACGACTTCACTTCTGTGACGGAAATCCCTGCTTTCCTCCCACCCTTATTATATAAGAAACCTCAGGTACATTAACCATGTTCACACATGATACGATTACTCGGGATTAGTATGCGATTTAGGTGACCTGAGGATCAGATCCGGACAAGTACTAGGTATCAATGGTTATCGGTAAAGTAAGACCATTGGAGGAATAAATATGACTTCTTTTTGCCTAGCCATTGCGGCTAGGCCATTCATTTGTGTATATATAGAGTAGCTATCCCCATCTACAGGTGCTCTTCACCTGTAGATTCTAAGTTAAATACAATTGCTGGTCTATAAACACCCTTTTGGTCACAACTTCCAAGTGAATACCAGTGATAAAGCCTTAACCTACAACTACCAACCGACGAACCTTAGGCGGCCGCCGCCTCCAGTACAGTATCGTTACAACTTTGTCTGAAATAAGAGAGATGTATATATATAGACAATGCGTATATATTATTAAAATAATATATATATATATCTATTTAGGCTCGTTTTAACACCGGTTATTTGATAAAATAAAATATTTTTTGTACAATATAAATAGATATTATTAATTCTTATTTTTTAATTATTTATATTTCATTCTGTTACGAGGTTTGCCGTCTAGATCACGTGGAAGTGCTCTAGGCTCTCGAGGTGGTTTATAACTAGGCGTCAAGCAGGGACTTAAGTAATGACAATAATGAAATGCAATTCGTAACTAATAGTAGGATATACTAAATGATTGATCTTGAGCACGAAGCTCTATACAAAGGAAATCCATCTTGATTATATAGACCTTCATGCCTATGGCTAGTCAGGACCGCTGCGCGGTCCTGGACAGCCAGCGTTCCTCAGCGGTCCATAACGTGACTTTAATCACGTTACCTTAGTTTAGTCATGTGACGCGGCATAGAAGATAGCCGTTGTAACATTGCTCAGCTCAAATGGTAGTATTCTTTACCTAGTTATTCCTACCTGGCAAAATTAAACGTCTACTTGATCGTCTATCAATATACACAACCCAGCGTTCAGTGTTGCTTGCACGTGATATCAGTCAGGTAGGGTAGGTCGTAGCTGTTACGTGACGGTTGTTACCCACTAGTGGCTCACGTGCACTAGCCCTGTATATAAAGACCTTCTTACTTAGAATCTTCTTAGTTCTTTAGTTTTAGATTCTAAGTGATTGAATTGACTCCGTTTACGACTTTTCCGTCACAGTAGCACTGCCCTACCTGTCTTGAGAGCAGAGGCAAGTGCTGTCACAAAAGGAGCCTTTAGAAGGTTTTGGATCAAGTTTTCCTCAAGATTTCCAAAAACAAAATCTTCGACAAGAACGTTTAGTGTGGGCTTTTTATATCGCTATCACTAAAATATCTGTACTGAATCCTTACTTGGCGATATCGATACCCACTGCGAGGTGATAACTCCTATTCCAACTCGCCGATACTTTCCATTATCTATGGAACTAACCAGCAAGACATAATGAAAAATATTAGACGGCTCATCGCTCTCTAGGTCACTACTATACTCTCTCCAACCCGTCTTCCCTTCGCCAAGAATAATATACTCGCGACTTTCGGTATTGCAATTATCTTCACAGTCATAACGGATCCAACCTACCACATCTCCATTCTGATTGTTAATGTTGCATTCCATATCGCCATGGGGTGTGAACCTACAGTCAGAGGAGAGTTGAACAAGTGAAGCACTAAGGATAAAACGATTTTCAGTACAGTGGAATACGATATCGTGATCCGTCCTCCAACTTATCGTCGATGTGGCAAAGGTCGCATACTGGATTTTCCCTGTGTACGACATCCAAGGCCATGATGGTACTCTCAGTTCTCTGACGGACGATGAAGATGTTATGTCTTTAAAATCAAATAAAGGTTTCATCCACTCATCCACAGAACGCCACCAGAACAGAGTTTCGCCTAGAAAAAGTCGAACGATTCCGTACACGCTTTACGTGTTGTAATGATTATCCAATCAAAATTCAAGGCTAGTCAGCGCCACCGGTCTGTCCGTCTTTACCGTGAGTTTTAGTCCCGAGTATAGGGTAAATGTGCTTTGGAAAACTGAGAGCGCACTCCGACTGATCTGATCCGTCTAACTTCGTGAAGATTGAAGCTCCCAGAGCATTCCTAGGCTTTAACAACCAAATGAATCGATTTCTCTCCCAAATATAGCATAGGCTAGACTTACGCACCTCGAACCCTTATCACTAGTTTTATCCCAAACCACAGACCCGCACTCCCAGTACATTTGCTCTCCAACGAAATGGATCGTTCGGCGTGACAAGCCTCGTTCCTGCGATATCCATCCTCGACGACTCAGTTCTCCGCCCTCTATGCCCTCTTCGAAACTTCCGCTCGCCTCCTTGGGCGGATAAATAGCAATTGTGCAGTAAGCGAAAGCAAACACTTCTCCCATTCTTGTAGCCTCGGATTCCCAGTCCGTCCTATCTTGCTGAACTATACAGAGAGAATCGATCCACAGAAAGCGTATGCCTAATTTCCTTGTGATGTGCATAGTGTCTTGATATGCTTTGGGTAAGCAATCAAGTGTTATACCATTTCGCCGTTCATTCAAGTTAGCTGTTGTAGTGATCGGAGTGTCATTTTGCCAACGATGAGAAAGGGCAATATACAGTCCGTGAGCATCTCCATTGGTAACTCGGAGTTGAACGTAGTTTGAATCGTCGTCTTCTCCGACATCAATCATCCTTATTAGAAGCTTAGAGAGGTAGCTCTTAATGTGCCTATGGTAGACATCGTATAGCCGAAGCCATCCTTTGCATAACATTAGTTCAGCATCACTTCCGGATTCGGACAGAACCTGAACCTCTCTTCGCTTGCCTATGATTTTCATCCATGGGACTATATCCGCAAAGAATCTTAGTGCATTTTGAAAATCAAATTTAGCTTGGATTTAACAACAAATACCTAGTAACAGGTAACGGATTCCCCAGCCACTAACCAATAAGGAACTGTTGCTTGTTAGAAAGAGCCCTATTGCATACAGGCTGCCTCGTGCATGAATTTCAACAAATAGAAACGTAGATTATAAATTAATTTTGCTGGAATATAGCGATCATATATTTCCCCTTGTGAACATATAAACTAAGCTTCTCATAAAAAGGATTCATGCGCATCCCATAGCTCTTTCAAGAGGCATTCCATGCGACGTGTGCGAAGAAATTACCAAATCTTCCCGTGATGACAGCGGTAACTGCTCTGACATAGAGCAATATCCTAAAGATCCAGCCCTATCAACTCAAGATGGTAGTATATCCAAATATACTCTTGTCGTATGCAAAATTAGAAGAAGCAAGGACATGCCTCAGGAGATGGTGACACATTCAATTACCATTGAGAGTCCCTTTTTAAAGAAAGCGTTTAGAGAGCACATTTTCAACGATTATTCCGCTTTCGCAAATGAGCTCTCTAACATGGAATTTAAAGCTCCATTCTGGCCGTTTGTACACAGATGGGGGGACCTCTTAGCTTTGAAGAGGAGACACAATACGGATAAGATAACAAATTTGCACTGCTCCCAACTTCAGGATATCCTCAAACGCGAGATCAGCGACAAAATTCAGGCCTTTAGTGATCATATTCTCAAAAAAATCAATAACTTTCAAGTATTTGTGGATGATATTCCAGCCAGGCGTCGTTGTCGTATTCCATCCTAGCCTAGGCCTAGAATTTGCTTTTGAAGTAGACACAACGGAATACTATAATAAGGTAGTTGGAAGATCCTGTCGGCTGAACGGTCAATGTATTGACTGGGATGGCAAGCGTTTCGGGCGGAGAAAGTTAGAAGTTGACATCCCCAAGTTCGAAGGGACAAAAAAGATTCAGACCCTAAAGACCTTTCTGCTGCATTTTCATGAAAACTGGAAGGCCACAAAGTCTTCTTTGGAAGCTCAAGGGAAAGAAATCCAGACTCTCTGCAGTCGTTCTGAAATATTGTAAGTTCTAGAACCCCATAATCATCAACTTTGAGGGATCTTCTAAGTCTATACAGGTACGAGGGTCCGGTCATAATGTGGAATGAAGATGGTCGCGAACATCAGAGCCAAGTTTCCGGTCGTATAGTTATAGGCACAGAATCCCTTGATCATCTTGCACCGCACCCAAAACAGCCCCTGGAACCTTTCAATTCTAAGGATATTTACCGGTTTTCTTTTAAAGCAAATGCCAATCAATGATTTTGGGAGGAAAACAGGTGTGAATGTCAATATGGATGAAAAAAACACCTCCAGGGGAGCCTCTCAAATACCATCAAAAAATGCTGCGCAGCTCGAAGTTGCGTGGATACTCTCCACAACTAGGTAAATGGTGTAATTTCTTTCTTGATTATATCGGTGACGGTGGGATTGTGAAATAAGGCGAACGCTTTAAGTTCAGAGATGGAGGTAAAAGTTCTGGAGTCTACTTATTGCACACCAAGTGAATCACACCAAAATTGACGATTTTTCAACTTCTTCAGATCTCTATTAACCTCATCTGTATAGAAATTGTCGGGATATTGATCACATGAACCACTAGTAGTGTTGACGCTAGTGCCTCGGCAAGAGGGAATCACATATTAGATTAGGTAGTTCCCCAACTTCATAGTTCTAGTTCTTTAGACAAATCAATATGAATATTAAAGAATATATAATCAAGATCAAGAAAGATGAAGTTAAAAAATCATTAACTTTGGTATGGTTTCGTTTAATTCGTAATAAGTAATTTCCATAACTCTTACTTCGCTGCGTCTCAATAATTGTTACTCTCCCTCAGCATTTGTTCTTAATCTTCTTGCTCTGCTCTGAATTGTTCAAAGAACGAATCAACACCATTCTAATAGCAGATATCTCTCGTCTTAAGTTACCCAAGCCAGACAGATCTCTTACTTCCATATCAATATCTTTCCACTCTGAAAATGCTCGGTGCGTACGGCAAGCTTTCCAGCACGCTCGCTTTTCCTCTACATTGGCCTGCTTAGCTTCCACATAGCAGAGATATGCCATGCAATTTTCACCATATTTCATCCCTCGCTTACTACTACCATCGTAAAGGGGTTTAGTGTCAATTACATCCTCGAACATTTCGAAGAACTCCTTTCCTGAATCTCGCAAGCTGCGTTGGGCGCGAACTCTACAACCCTTGAAGTCTGGTGTAGTATTTTCATTGTTGGTCTCTCGCTTCTCCCAAGTATGATTGATGGCCGCTGCTTGAACGAATCTCTCTTGGTGGAGAAGCATTTCGTATTCTTTTAGATTTGTCTCCTACTCTTTTTAGGTGAAGATTGTTAAAAGCTCATCAGGATTTTCGTACATCTTTGTTAGAAAAGTGTAAGTGCACTTATGCCCCATGAAAAGGCCGACCTTTGATAATCTCTTTGCACGTTCCCATACAAACTCTATTCTCTTCTTTTCCTAATTCAAAATACCTGAGTTATGATTGAGGGTGATATGGGTAATGTTGATTTTGCTGCACAAATCGCAAAATTTCCTTGGATGTAATCCATGATTTATGAGCCTCTTAGCTGCATCCGTTTTGGCAATTGGGAGAGCAGAAAGGAATCTCGTTCTTTTTTCGATGTTTAGGGTTGCTTTGTATGTGAAATGGACAGTATTTTCCTGCACATAGCCTTCATTTTCGAGTTCGTCCATACCATAATTATCCTTCAATATCTGTTTGATTCGTACGATTTTTTCCACCATTACGCCATATGATAGTAACCTAGGGGTAGAGTGTAAAGCGATTATCTCCTTTTCCATATGACAATAAAGTTTATAGATCAGGAGTGCGGTCTCCACTTCTGTCTCTTGAATGCATTCCTTCAAGGGGATGTTGTCCAAAATGACCTTCGCTTGCTCGATTTGTCTTCTAAGAGCACTGAAGTTCTCCTCTTGCAATCGTGCGATCTGATTCGGCTGGCCTTTTATGGAGAGACGTTCGAGGTTGCTTGTATGCTGCACTTTTTCTCGCATCGTCTCCTGTCTTTTGGGCCGGTGTTTCTCTCGTCTTTGATGCACCTCGTCCTTCACTGGTCGTTTCTTCGGATCTTTTTCACCTGCAGCAGGTTCATCAATTTGCATAACATCAGGCTTTTTAATGTCATCTGTATTGATCTTATAAAAGGCTGGACCGGCGATATCCATACTGACCGACTCGCAGTTGCTTTCAATATTTTCTACCACCCTTCTGCGCATACTTGCTCGAGCCCGTGCCGAAGGAGTAGGATTGGCCAAATGAAAGAATGACTGTGTAACAACCGTAATATATATAGTCTTGCCTCACTCCATTGTTAACATCTCTATACAAGTATCAATGGATTCGAGTAAAGCCAGGGAAACTCCACTTACAATAGATAATTGTGTATTTTTTATCAAGTCCTGAAGATTGCAAATTGTGCTGTGTTTTAAAATGCGGAATCTTTTCTTTTTTAATCAATGGTCCTATTAATAATGGTGATCACAAATAAATAGAAGAAACATTTTAGATAGTTTATAGAGGGAATAAGCAAGTATTGGTACGGTCCCTTAATATGGAAGGAGCTGTGTGAGTTAATAGTGTTCGGCATCGAATTATTATTCATAACTCTAGTTTTCCAGATTATTACAATGCAGCAAGTAACTCAGTCCACCTATCACAAATCCTCTCTGTCTCAACCCCCATCCCTTTTCCTTTTTCCTTTTTCCATTTTTCCTTCATCCCAAACCCTTTACACCCAAAGATAATGTCAAAATATCCATAATCCATTATCCCATATCCTTCAACCCTTCAATCTCATCTCATATACCATATCCCAGATCCCGTATCACACAGCCCTTCAACTTCCTTCTCTCATCCCCTCCTCCCACGTCCTTCAAACTTCCCCTCTCCATCCTTCCCTTTTCCTATCTTTCCAACCCGCAACTCCCAACTCAAAGAGCAAACGTATAACTATAACAAATCACCTTATCGTATCCATTCATCATATCCACTCATTCATTCATAGTAATATATAATGAGATTTTGAGAAGATTTTGATAAGATTTAAGAACATAGCACTGGCTATACGGAGAATCTATCAATATGCCGTCGCTGATAAGTGTATAGAAGAACTATTGACTTTTCAATTCTTAACTCTTAACTCTTAACCCGTGCGTCTTTATTCCCATGAGTTTAATAGTGGCCTCAATTCCAACTACTCAAAATCCTATGCCCACACACTTCAATATCCATCATTCTCAACATCAAAACATCACAAAACAACACAAAGATTGATAAAATTTTCAATTTTAGGAAAACATAAGAACTATAATGCCTTAGGCCCGTAAACAACGCAAACGCTACCCTATGAGATATCATCAATAACCATAACTTCATTCCTATCCACCCATACCACTCCATTCCACCCATCCCATTAAAAGACAAGTACTTGGAAAAAAGAACCAAAAGGCAGCGACCGACAGAACTAAATTAGCCCCGCAACTTTAAAAAAAAAGAGAAAAAGCTTCACATAACAAAATGTGCCCTAAGTTTCGTGCTAGTCCCCATATTTCCTTAATTGGACCTTGTAACATGGTAATCCTCCATATCCATATCAATCTCCGTGATTTCTTTGACCCCTTGTTTTCATTCAGCTAACCTCATGATATAACTTTTCACTTTTGTATTTCGACCTTCAATCATAAAGATTGATCTCTCACCAGAGTTGTAAAAGGTCCCTTTTTCCTCGTTAAACTTATGCGGCAATGAGTGGCTCGCTCTCACTAGCCATGGTAGCCTTGAAATCCTCTTTTGGTGCTTCTGGGAAATCCTCCTCTTTGATGCCATTGATCTTTGTTGTTATTGGGGAAGAGGTAACCCTCCTAGCCTCTGGAGATCCAGAGCGGCTTCTAATAATCTCTTGTGCTTTGTGTGCATACTCCCCAGCGTATTGCTTGGTGGTCTCGGCAACATGAGCTGCGTGTTGACTGGCGAGTTGTTTAACTTGTTTAGTTTGTTGGTTGACGACGCTGGAGGCTTGAGCAAGGAGATTGTCGATGAGCTCCTTGTTGGTCTTGTAGATAAGTGGGCAGATAAAGATGACTGAGGTGAAGATAAGAGAGAGACCCCAGAATGGAATGAGCTTGATCAAATAGTAGGAAATGAAAGATCCGATCAAGGCCTGTTTTGGTCAGCACTTTGTGAATTACGGCGAGGAATCCGGGTGGTCTTACAGTAAGAGAAACAAAGAGGTTCTCGGCGAAGAGAATACGTTGCGACTCAATGACGAAGAAGTTAATGAGCTCGTGGACATCACCGAGTAAATTGTCGAGAGTCTCTTTTGAAAGAGTATAGTATTTCTTAGGTCTAAATTGGGATGTAAGACCATGCGAAAAAGCTAGCTTTCCAAGAGCTTCTGCGAGAACAGTCACAAACAAAGCCATATATGTAACCTTGAATGAATATCGGAGGATATCAAGATATCTGGCTGCGAAAATGAATGCAACCGTGGAGAGGTATGCAATTCCGGATGCACGAGGGTTGTTCCATGATAATAAGTTGGAGAAAAAGGAATGGTAATGTGTGAGTTGTTGACCGGTAGCTGTTGTATTGGAAGGAGTGGTGCGTGAATTTGCGAGGTTGGCAAATTCTGCTTGAGTCTTTTGATGTTGCTCTCGTACATTATCTGCCACTGGGCCTATCGGGGGGAGTCAGTATTATAGCTATGGAGGATGTCTGATTAAAGTTCAACGTACCATTTACGACACTTTGAGTAAAAGGATGATTTCCGACAGTGTTAGCAGCTGCAGATGCATCTGAATTGATTGATTAGTTTATTTTCTATAGTGATATCATTGTGCGAACTTTTGGACTGTCTCATGATTAGCGATGCAAACTTGGGTGATTTCATTGATAGATAGATAATAGCTTACCTCACTGTCATAAACTGCGTTCTTTGCGTTATCCATTGTGTTGGTATTCCCTTCGTTGGAAGATGTACTGACGTTAGAGGGAAAATCGGACATAATAAGTGTAAATTTTGATGGTTGTGTATCGAAGAAGGAAGATAGTCGAGGAAGCCTTTGATGATAAGCTTGTGAAGTGGAGTGATGATTTTGTAGATGCGATGCAATGAGTTGATTGTGTATCCTTTGATGTTGAGTTGTATTTGGTAAACCTTTTTTCTTGTTTAAAAGAAACAGAAATAGTCTTTCACCAAGTTAGCCTGGGGATTGAATTGTATTGTGTTATGACGAAAGCTGGGAAGAAGAATTCCGCTTGATTCTTTTGTCCTTTTTTCTTCCTACAAAAGCTGCAGTAGTGTGAATAGTAAGAGTGGAGTTAATATAGTCGGTCGCACTTGCATAGGCCAGACAAATTGAATTGGATTGATATGATTGATATGATTGATATGAATTATTTTTGGTGCTAGTGCCAACAGATTGAGTTTAGCGTATGACCAGGCACGCGAGCAATCCTGTTCTTGCCCTGAGAATTTGGGAGTTTGAATATGAGATCTTTAGTTTATGAGCTTTTACAGGCTCAGAGGCGTGGAGTTACAGGCTTGCTCCGTACAGGCTTAACAGGGTAACAGGCTTTACTGACAATGAATTGGCTAATGATGGGGGACGTCATAATAGAGGCGCCACACTATAAAAAAGCTGGTACGCACGGTTCTGATGATTCTATGGTACGGTGCGGTACGCTACAGAGGACGCTACGGGATAAAAAGAACACCAAATCAAAAGTCATTGATCGATTTATCCTTGTTTTCCTGATCTGATTTGATTATCCCGGAGTTTAAAGATACTCCGTCTTCTATGATATTTATTCTCTCTCTTTTGTCTTTGTACCTATAAATGCCGTAATCAATAAACCAGATTCCATCATCTATATATCCATGACCCATCTTTCCGTTACATTATACCAATTATCAAAAGAATCGTGGTCTTTTCAATATTGACCTTTTTAAAGGCACATCTAGATACCTACCTACTGTACCTAGTATTTCTAACCGGATGCACCTCGTGTGTCCCTAGTGATTACGGATCCCTATCAATGCATCCATCTTGCATCTGCTTTTCAATTGCTCTTTTGCTTTTTTCGCTTTCCTTTCTCTTTTGGCATGTGATTCTTAGCTACCGCCTGATGGAAATTCCAGAGCTTTCCAACAAATCTGCTGATGATGAAAAACATCAGAAAAGAACAACATGACTGCCTTTTAACAACCAGACATTGACTCAGATATCATGTACACACTTTTGACTTCTCAATACCTATGCTTGGTTATCTGTCCTGTATGAAGAATTGAAAGAAAAAGAAGCCCAATTGTTAGTTACATTTGAAGGGGGCCAGATCCGGTAGGATGTGGGATGAGGTGGGGTTGTTCTAGCTACCTAGGTTTTGAAGCACTGTGCGTTCGTACATCTTATTGGTATCCACCACAGCCAAAGAAGGTATTTTGTTCCCGTCGTCAATATTTCCTCACGAGACAGAGTTTCATTATTATTAGGGTTTGTCAATTTAATACCCTATCAATGAGGTTCTTCTCTTTCCTGAATAACGCGCTGTTGAAATGGAAAGCTACCTAGGTATTCACATCTTCTCAATGGGAGACATGTGATGGATGTAAGTCTTACAAAGTGTAAAGGGCACAGATCTTAGCTGATAAGAACATCTCAGTGCCCCGCGAAGAATCTTTTATGGGTACCAAGATGATTGCATCATGAAAGCAACTAATGTATTAGAAATCAATGCACTCGTGTTGATCAATTCAATGATGTCTAAATCGCATTCAAAATGATCGAGCATCTCATCGAGAATCCTTCGTCTTAAGCAAGACCTAGAACTAATGAGCTTTCGATCATTGCGACATACGCCTGCTTGGAGCAATATATATTCTTTTGTTCAAGACCCAATATTGGTTTCAGAGCAGCTCACTCAAGATTCGTGGTTTCAACAAATTGCTTCTGCGATGAAACATCCGTATGATTGTCGCGGAAGCGAATTGTTCATGGTGCCAACTTTTACTTCAAGTGATTCCTGCTCATTTTCCGATACTCAAGATTCCATAATTGTTAGGAATCAACTTGTTCATCGTACCAGGCATCACTTCTGGTGATTCCATAATTCTACTTTTCAACAGTCATGATTGACAACGGAAACCATCAAGTTATTGAAGAAACCAATAGCTATAACTGTGTGAACGAAGTGAATGACTTCAATTCAATTACTACTGTAATAAAGAACTAAGCGAACGCGAAAGAGACTAGCTTTTTTAGTAAGTCTATATAAGACTTACTACTTTCAATATGTAGCTAGCTTTTTAGACAGAATACAATTAGACATACAGGACCTACGTAATCCGTGGGTGCTACGTCTTCCGTATCCTTCTCGTACCAACAATAACATTCTAAGCACAAACTAACACGGAGAAAATACCAACAAACCACCTACTTGAATTATCAATTTGACAACTACGACATAGGATTGGGATAAGCAACAACCGAACTCATAACATGAGTACACAACTCACTACTCTGTCCAACCTTTGCCACCGTATCCCAATCCAAATACCCATACACCCACTCCCCAGGACTCATCAACGCCGCCGGCGTATAATTCGCACAATGCTTCACATAAATCAAATCATCCAACACATCCACATCGAATCCGGAAATCATCATCGGCACCTTACTCAAATTACATAAAAATGCAATAGTTCCATAATATTGAATACTTCCAAAAGCACCCGTTAAGCTCGAGACAGTGTCCTCGCTGCCCTTCATACCGAGCCCGAAACAAGGCCAGCCTGGTTGGATGGTGGCGCAGGTACTGGTCGTGTTGGCCTGAAGGACGGCACGCGCTTGGTTTGTGGCTGTTTCGGGAAGGAATCCAGCGCCGCAGGTTGCGGTTGCGGCCGTGGCAGAGGCGGCGAAGTCGGCGGTTAGGGTGCCTGTTGTTTGGATTTTGCTGGATGTGGAGGTGGATGAAGATGAAGTGGTGGACGAAGATGAAGATGTGGATGTGGATGAAGAAGTTGTGGTTGAAGAACTAATTGAAGAATTTATCGTGGAGAAGGTCTTTGCTCGCCCTTCCACTATTGCAGCAGCAATAGCATTGCCAATAAAGGCGAAAAGAACTATTCTGCGAAAGATCATTGGATACTTGAGATGATGCAAATCAGAGGACTCAAAATTATATTCTTCCCAAGTATCAAGCTTAAAATCTAGCAAACGTAATGTCACCAGTGTGAACACATGAATAGAAAAGACAGCAATGCTTGAAATGTCAAAGCAACAGTGGTTAAGTAACACTGTAAAAACAGCAGCAACAAGTCCATTATGTACCCCTTTCTTGCCTGTTAGTTCACGGCCAATGGGTCTCATACTGTAGACCTCCTTCTTTGTGAGTTCGTACTCGTTTAAATATATAAGCAGACCAGACCAGATAAGGTCTCCAATATAACATCTCCAACCCAAACCACCTCAAGCCTCGAGACCAACTATTTACCTATCCATCACATGCAATCATATCAAAGAGCTCATCATTTAAAATCTCAAGAACAAAGAGAGAAAAAAAGTCATACTGCAAACCCCCTCAATTCAGTGTACGTAAGATAAAGTTAGTAAATATCGATGAATTTTTGATTAATCTCGTTACTTTTCTCTTCCTTTTCCTTCCTTTCATCTAAACATCATTATCTTGCTTGCAAATTCATCCATTCATTAACATCCATTTCCAACCCCTCCTTTCTTCTCTTCTTTTAAGATCTCGTTTTATCAAAATGCTTATTTACTAGTACATAGATAAAATTTTACTTCTTGGGGTTTTGCTTGAGAATCCTCCGTATGTGTACTGGGGTATATGCATGATGGCCTACTTACGGTCGTAGGATTTATTGAAAGATTGGTTTGAAGGGATGAGGTGCTGGTTGGAACTTGGAAAGGAAAGGGGTGGTGGGGATAGGATTGTGTTTTTGAGGTGAGTAGATTTGTTTATTTATATTCAATTTATTCTAAAATCAACTAGCTGTACAAAATGCATAAATGTCATAGTTACACCCCCAATCCGAAATCTAACCCAAGACTTCTTCCCCTTCCCTCTAATTATCTCAGAGTAAAGGTCTAATAGCCTCCGCCGTGTCAATCGAACTCTCTGTCACACTCTTATACGTAAAGCCCATCTCTCTCGGCGCTTTCTCACCACTCACTCTCAATGCGTCAGGTGCCAATTCCACTTTTTCCACTACTCCCGTTTCCTTATTGTATCCCACGTATCCCTCTCCTGGGTTTCCAAGGGGTATATTTTTCACAATTTGCTCTTCGCCCTTCTCCTTGAAATAGACCCTTGCAATATCGGCATGTGCCTGCCAGGGACCGATTCCGGCACATCCAATGTAACGTTCTCCGTTTGATTTTTCCGGATGCTCAAAAGCCCAGATGTGCATATAGGCCACATCACGGACATCAACCCAACTTCCGTTTCCGATATTGTCAGGGATGGTTTTGGTGTTTCCTGAGAGCATGCTCCAGATTGGTTTGAGTGTTTCGTTTAATTTGTCGCCTGTTTTGGGGAGGTAAACTGGAGGGCCGATTACTACAGCGGGGTTGATGGTCGAGATGGAGAATGCTGGTTTTTCTTCTTTGAGGAATTTCCAGACAGCTTGATCGGCGGCTGTTTTGGAGGCTCCGTAGAGGACTCCTGGGTGGGTTTGACGCCCTTCTTTTAGATCGAGTTGTGCTTGCGCAAGGTATTCGGATGCAAAATCCGCTTCGGTGAAGACGTGGGAGTCGGTGCGAGGGTTAATGACGGCGATGACGGAAGATGTTACTACTACTGCTTTGAGTTGCGGACCAGCTTTTTGGGCGGAGATTAGAAGCGTTTTGGTGCCATCTACGGCAGGTGTGACCATTTGGGCGTAGGTTGTCAGACTCATGTCGATTGGAGATGCGGTGTGAAATATTCCATGGACACCTTTGTGGGTGTTAGTTTAGTTCAATTAATCTGGAGGGGATATTCCAACCTTTAGCAGCTTCATCAAAAGCTCCAGAAACTGTCATATCAGGTACCTCATATATGTTCACTCGATCTATATAAGGTGCATAAGGACCTTCGAGAAGCGGATCGACACTAGAAAGACGACGTGTGGTACCGCGAATAGAGTACCCTGCTTCTAGCAGTTGCATACCAAGGACACTGGCAATATAACCATTTATACCGGTTATGAGGACGGTGCTATTGTTGGAAGATGGAATTGCCATTTTGAAGATAGGATAAGGTGTGATTTATATATATAGCTTGTATGATCGATTGAATTTAGTAGTTTAAAAAAGAATGAGAAAATGATTTCTTAGATAGTCAAGTATATCGATGTTGTCTGAATTGAAACTTCAAATCAAGGAACTTCAGGGAGTATTCACTTGATATATACTCTTCAACTCCCCCTTCCATGGTGGGTCCATACAAAGAAAAGCACTTCATATTAGAGAATTCCCAATGAATATGACGGAACCGGCTCATCATCCAGCCAGAGCAAAACGATCAGTATGTCCACGTACGGAGGATAGCTAAACCCTCAAGCTTAGAAATCCATGGTGATAATGTTGTTGAATCTGATGTTGAACCTCGGAGTGTCTCTTTGATCAGTAATAACCGGCTTCATATTAGGCCGACTATTTCCTAGTTGGGGAAAGTAGGTTTCCTCGGAATATAAATTTCCCCGAAGTGTATCGATTTCGAATCAATATGGTTCTTTTCTTATGTTATCAATTCCCGTTTGATAGTACGGATTTTAATAATGAGAACTTCATTATATCGATTTCAAAATCTATAACGTGGTTTATCATCGAGTGGGCCATATCATCGAGTGGGCCACTTTTCCCTCAATTCACACCTTCAACTTCTACACGCGATTTATCAATCAATTATTATGGAATCAACTAATCAAGAAGGCCGAATCTTTCTTGCTATCGAAGCTATTCATAAAGATAAAAAACTAAGCATTCGAAAAGCTTCTAAGCTCTATAATATCCCTTGTACGATTCTTCAACACAGAATGGATGGTTTACCACCTCGTACAGAAACTCGAGCGAATCGTCATAATATTACAGAATTGGAAGAGGAAGTGATTGTTCAATATATTCTTGATATGGATTCGAGAGGTTTTCTACCTAAACTTAAGAATGTGGAAGATATGGCGAATTATATTCTTGAATCGAGGGGTACGAAGCGTATTGGGAAGCTCTGAGCGCATCGATTCGTAAAGCGTCGAATCGAATTAAAGATGTGTTTTAGTCGTGTTTATGACTTTCAAAGAGCTCTCTGCGAAGATCCTAAGCTTATTGAAGAGTGGTTTCGATTGGTTGCGAATATGCGAGCGAAATACGGCATTTTGGACGGCGATTTCTACAATTTCGATGAAATAGGCTTTATGATAGGCATTATAAGTGCAGCAATGATTGTTACTAGTGCCGAAAGATATGGCAGAAGTAAATCAGTACAGCCAGGCAATCGAGAGTGGGCTACAGCAATTATATGTGGCAATGGAAAGGGTGAAACTATTCCCCCATTTCTAGTGGTTCAAGGACAGGTTCATCTCTCCAATTGGTATACCGAAACCAATCTTCCTGCGGAATGGGCTATTAAACCTACATCTAATGGATAAACAAACAATGAGACAGGGTTGGAATAGTTAAAGCATTTTGACAAGCATACAATTCATCGAAGAAAGGGCAAATATCGAATGCTAGTGCTGGATGGACACGAAAGTCATGAATCAATAGCTTTTCAGTCATATTGTAAAGCAAATGATATTATATGTTTATGTTTACCATCATATTCAAGTCATTTAACTCAGCCACTTGATGTTGGCTGTTTCAGTAATCTGAAACGTTCATATAATGGTCAAATTGATGGGTTTATCAAGGCATATATCAATCATATTTCGAAGGTTGAATTCTTTATGGCTTTTAAAGCTACATACGAAGAATCAATCACCTCTCAGAATATGAAATCAGGGTTTCGAGAAACAGGTTTAATACCATTTAATCCTGAAGCTGTACTTTCGAAATTAGATATTCGAATTCGCACACCTACCCCCCCTCTTTTCAACCTAGATCAATGGATCTCTCAAACCCCTCGCAACCCAACTGAAGCTCTTTCTCAATCAACTTTAGTGAAATCTCGAATAACCCATCATCAATCAAGCTCCCCTACACCTATATTCGAGAGTGTACTAGCTCTAGCTAAGGGTATAGAGAGATTAGCTCATGAAAATACACTTTTGACTGCAGAGATTCGTATACTTCGGAAGGCAAATGAAGCATTAAGCAAGCGTCGACGCGCGGAAAAAAACCAATTACGTCAAGGAGGAGTACTCACCGGACAAGAGGCTCTTGATATATTATCTCAGCAAGAGGTTGATATTCAGATTCAATGCGACGAGCGTCAAAAAGGGGGGAATTCTAATGGGGAAGCATCTTCTAATAGATGTTGTAGTAAGTGTGGAAAACCGGGTCATAATTCAAGAACTTGTCAAAACAATATAATAGATCCTAGATTATTAGATTCTTAATAGTTTTAATCAATTGATTTAATGATTGTTGAATAATATAGGTTTGAAGGTGTGAATTGAGGGAAAAGTGGCCCACTCGATGATAAACCACGTTAATTGTATGTTGAGAATGAGAATTTCAAGAAGCTACTAAATGTAGGTTTTGATGGGATACTTGCTTTCCCCGACTAATCGGAGGAGAGAATTTTAACAGCCGATGTGTTGCTGGGAGAAGATGTAGCTGACAAATCAGCGTGAAGAATGTCGAAGTCAGCACGTGAGCGGTCAAAACTTTCTATCATTTCTTCACCGCTTTAGTATTCTGCCTGATTTGAAGTAATTCCATATCAAATCTAAATTCTTCAGAGTTCGAATACCTGGTGCTTGAATCCACCTCTCTCCCGGCGATGAGTACCACTAAACTGATTCCCTCCCGTCCATTATTACGGTATCTCAATGAGAGAATATTTAGTACTTCTACCCGCCCGTTTTGTCATCAAGTAACGCGGAATCCATCTCCCAATTCGTTTCGTCGCTCCATCCTTTTTCGTCGTCCTCCACAACAATGTCGCCACATTATGTTGTCGCGAATCGCCGAGAGAACACAACATTCCAAATTGCAAGCTGACAACCATAAGATTTTGGATTTCGCCAAGCTATCTGTTTTTGATAACACCAAGTATCAATCACAGAAGATAATTTTATGGAGAGAAACCGAAACAAGGCCCAATAGCAGACCACATGTGTTTCTGGGCGTGATGTCATTGGGAGATGCAATGCAAAAGTATCTGGGTGATAGAAAAAATGTAATTTTGGATCCGGGTGCTGGCACTAGCTGGATGCTAGTGTCTAGAACGGGATTCACAAATGATGCGAAGGTGGACCCCGCTCGCCTGGGCGAGATATCTAACCTCCATGAGTATCTTTTAGTCAAACGAAAGTCTTGGATGGTGCCAAAGCCGGGACAGCGAGTAAAACACAAAGGAGGTCGGGGTAATGCGAAACTGATACATCTTCAGAGCAATGTTACTGGCCATAACATGAGTGTGATGATGGCGAAAGCCTACTACTATTTAGAAACGCATGATTTTAGTGCGGAGTTCCATATACATTTTTCGAATCGTTCTAAGTACAGCGAAGATGAGATGCTTGAGAAGTTGATGAAGATACCGGGTGGCTTGGCTCTCCATCCCCAAGTCATTCAGCGGCAATTGCCCACTGATACTAGGATTAATATAAGACCTAGGAGTGATGGTAGAGAGGTGGTATGGGTTGTGGGCAAAAACGAAAGTCGCAAAGATGAAAATTGGGTACTGGTTGCGGAGAAGGAGATGGCTAAGCTCGAGGAGACCCCTGGATTCATAATGAAAAGGGGTAAGGAGATGGAGAAGGATCGGAGATGGAGATTAAAACAAGACGAAGAAGAAATTGCAAGCTTGCGAAAGCAGGGAGAATCTTTTGATCATGTTCTCGAACGGCAGAGAGAAATCCACGAGCGTGAGAAAGAAATCAGAGCAATGTTCAAGGAGATAAACTTGGCGCGACGACAGAAAGCAAATGATAGGAAAGCGCGAAGACTTCAAGAAAGACTTCGCAATCAAGCACGTCGACGGGAAATGTCAGATGCTCGTGTTGAACGAAAGAGAAGATTGAGGGTGCGTCGGGAAGAACGAAGGAAAGAAAGTCTGAGAGTAATGCGGAACAAACGAAAGGCACGCGAGGCGACGAGAGCATCCTTTGTAGCTCGGAGAAACGCGAGAAAGGCAGAGCTAAGAGCTAAATCTACGTCAAGTACGGTGAATCATTACACGAAACGGACACAGATGAAAGCGAGATTAGAAAAGAGTAAAAGAAAAGTACGATTAATGCAGTACAAGGAGCCGGCGAGAGATATAGCGAAGAGAGCATTGTCTCTACGCTCTCTTCGATCTGCAGCACCAACTATCTTGCGAATTGAAAGACAGAAGTCGCTAAACCAGAGAAGGACCACGCAGAAAAGAGGACAGAGGGAACTTGTTCTGGGGAGGAAGAGGACAAGTCCTTTCTGGTCGACGTTTTGAGGATATGGTTTAGAGATGGGAGGATGACATGATTGTAGATGCAGATATGGATGATCTCTGATATATACATATATCTCTATTTTTTTTTCAAGGGTATAGTCGATGATTTGTAGGGGTAAACCCACAGGTGTGTGTCTCGATACAGAGATTTAGATGGGATGAGCAAAGTAGGAAGATGTTTTTTACTTCCCTGCATCAAGCACATAGTGTTCCCCATATCGATTTAAATACTCTTTTATCAAACATTTGATATCTTTGGCACCACAAATCCATTCTATATGTGATGTCCCGCTATTCTGGGTTCTCGAAATTTTTGGAAGGCTAGTGCTGAGAAATTGAGTGGTCTCCCAGCTCAGCAATTGTAGGTAAGATTACTTGGCCTTTTCGAGTATAAAAAATGTGACTTAGTATTAAAATGTCAGTCTACAATCTAGCGAGACGGAAACCTTTTGTGCGAATTGGTATTCTCTTATTGCCTACTTGCGGGGAAATTGTCTTTTGTATAATTAATCACAATGATAGTTCTCGCAGTCAGGCTGAAGAGAGTGAGAAGACTAGATGGAGAAAGAGTGCTTCCACTCGCGTTGCAGACAGACAGTGGTTTTTTTTTGTAGGGAAGAGTAGTCTGATATTTTGGTGGAGTAATTAATAGATTTCTGAACAGTGCCATGTTATGCGAATGCGAATCTATCGTTCTTCTCAAATCTCTATCTAAAATTAAGAGTAGTGGTTGAATATATGTAACCTTTATTAACCCCAAGGTATATAGTTAGTCATTGGATATGCTCGTAGAATCTTCACTCCAAGGTTATGCTCGAATTTCTCCGCTATTTGGGTCGACAGTGTGGAATCTTGGATGTGGTGGGAAGATATATATGTGAGTCTAGAAGGTAAAATTGTGTGGAACTTTGAATTTTAGGATTTTGTAATTATACATAAGTTTTTTTTTTTCAAGGTGAACTAGTAATTAATAATGGGGAGATTTGTGATATTTCTCTTCGCTGACCACTCATTCAGTTCACTCGTAAATATTAGACTCCATTAGCCAAATTTATTGCATGTGTGGTCAAGACACTAGATATTCAGCGCAATTTCTCAGGTATGTTGTCCAGGTTGCCGTCTAGTCTTTTACAATTTTTCAGATTTTCAAAGATCTCCAAATATTTTCTAATTTCTATGTTCAGAATTTTCTTTTTTTTTAAAAAAAAAGCTCTCACTCATACTTGAGATTAACCAAGAAAACATAGTTGACTCCGAACTCAGCATTTCCACGCACAAAATTTTCCAAAGATCACAAAGAAACGGCAGGAACATAATCCTGATACTGTATAACAACCCAAGCCGTCCTTCTCACAATTACGCACTTCCAATCCAAAGAAACCCACTCTACAGTACCACCAAAATCCTAACCAAAAAACAAAAGCAGGACAACTACACAACACTAATCTCCGATGACAATCCTTCCCTCTACCTAAGTCTCTTTACTTCCCAAAGCTATCAAAAGCTCTACGGAGGTACATATCTACATTGCGGTGCGGAGTAAAACAATCCTTTCTTGTTCTATGATGACTACCTATGATTACTATTCATTTCTCAACATCGACTCTTGAGGGGCTCGCTTAAATTACCCCTTGATTGTGGCGCTGTGGACAAAGATGTTGTGCGGGGAAGAGATGAGAAATGTGTAATGCTGGTGCGGCTTAAAGTTGTGAATGGAATGATTAATAAGGAGCTTGTGAGTTGAGCTGAGTTGATGGGAGGTATGGTATGGTGCAACGGTTCTTGTATTAACTAGTCTTCGATTTGGGGCTGAGAACGTAGAAGGTATTTATGGGGTATTGATTAGTGATATGAGGAAAGCTATAAAGCTATATTGTTGAGAGCTTTTGTCTCTAAATTTTTTTTTGGACAGGCTTTATATGTATAGATCTGTTCGTTCAATTCATCTAATTAAGTACATTCCAATATTTCAACACTTCAATAATCAAGTCCAAACACAATTTCAAGAAATTACAAAAGCAATGGCATCCACAAAACCGCTCGTCCTAATCATTGGAGGCACCGGAGTCCAAGGAATGCCTGTTGTCAAAGGTACATTGCCACAACCTACATCTATAAAACCCAAGAATATGACTAACAACCGTAGAACTCGCACAAGACGGTGCCTACAACATCCGCCTTATAACCCGGCACGCTAATTCTCAGCACGCGCAAGAACTTGTGCAACTACCAGGAGTAAGCATCGTCGAAGGCGACATCTACTCCGAGAACGATCTCCACAGATTTTTTTCAGGTTGCACGCATGCGTTTATCAACACCAACGGTGGTGCTATTGGCGAAAAATCTGAAATCTATTGGGGATCCGATATTATGAAATCGCACGCACACATAAATTGCAACATTTTTTATACTCCAGTCTCGAATATTCACTCAAGATGTCAGGTTTTGGTAATGATTACAGAGATGGACATATGGATGCGAAAGCGAAGGTTGCGGAGTGGATTAGCGTGCAGGACACGAAGAAGATGAAGTGGAGTATTTTGACTAGTTGTTTGTATATGGAGATGTTGAACGAGTTGTTAGCTCCGCATCCAGATAAGGAGGACCCGGAGGCTTTAGCTTTCATTGCGCCGCTGGGTTCCAGGGGGAGTGCACCATTAATTGCGTTGGAGGATTTTGGGAAGTATGCTAGATGGGTGTTTGACCATCCGGAACGTAGTAATGGACTTAATCTCCATGTTGCTTCTCAAGAAGTGGTTTGGGCTGATTTACCAGCTGCGTTCACTGAGGTTACCCGCAAGAAAGCGGTGTATAGGGATGTAACTATTGATGGTTGGTTTGATCTTGGGCCCTTCCCTGATCCGGACGCGAAGTTTGGACATAGTACTCCTGGGGACGAAGGAACATTGCAAACATATCGGGAGAATTTTGGCGGATTCTGGAGGTTTTGGAAGAGTGGCAGGGTAAGAAAAGATTGGGTTTTGATGGATGAGATTTTGCCGGGTAGAATAAGGTCGGTGAAAGAGTGGATGAAAAAGAGCGGGTATGATGGAAACGTCAAGCCTTTATTGCATGATTTTCATCAGAAAAAGAGAGAAGCTTAGGGAGGGAAAAGAAGGTTGATACCGCTTCGGGACCGTGGGAAGGACTGATGATAAAGTTTCTCCAGATTGGTTCGGATTAGAGCTAGCTTAGGAGATGAAGCTCTTAATGGATGAACAACTTTATGATCAAACTTATGCCCTGCAGTGGCCATGATAACGACCTCGAATGAATTTGTCACACAGCACCCAAACAGTGATATAAATTAACGACGGATTGAAAATAGATCCCAAATTTGCCTGAATTTTCCTCCTAACTCCCAACTCCATCTGTATTTGCAATAGTCTATGACCTCTTTATTTCTTTAGTGCTGCAAATCTCGCCGCTAACTCATCCACATCTGGTATCGTACCACCAACTGGGCCTTTACTTTGGAGGCCAGGTTTTTGAGCGTTTACAGTTTGCATCTTTTTTGTTGGCTTTAGATCTAACGCTCCACGCACTCTGGGGTGTAAATTGTCCGTCCTGGGGCTGGGTGGGTTAACTCTCAATGGGCTCGATGGTCCAAAGTTTTTTGGCGGAGTAGCTTTAATTAACTCCTCTCTTTCCTCATCGGCTCTACCATCTACTACCAGCGGCGCCTCCAAGTTCTTCTGTGCCTGTCCGCCACTCGGGTTCTCGTCATCGTCATCATCTACGAATTCCGGGCCTTGTCCAAGATCTTCCTTTGCTCTTTTTGGCCAGTCAATTCCGTACGTCCTAGCAATCTCCTCCAAATACCCGTTCACTAATTCTTGCGCCGGCGGAGTAATAGAAAGCTTCTTTAATACTTTCTCTGATACCTTCTCGTCACTGTTCTCCATAGCTTGCAATGCGAACTCCTTCCCGTACTTCTCGCACAGTAATGCTCGCACTTGTTGTAATTCTTTAATCTCTGTTCTGGGCGCCGCATATATTAAACTTTTCACAGCTTCCTCTAAACCCGGATCGCAGAGTGATGATTCCATAAGTCCCGTCCGCGCAAGGAGTAACTCGCAGTAGAGCTCGAGGATTTCGTGAAGTTCGGTAGTAATGTCAGATCGAATAATATTCTCGACCCGAATCTTTGCAGATTCTACTTTCCCAGTCTCCAGAAGTTGAGCCATAGCTCTACGTTGTTGCTTCGAAACAGCTTCATCTTTCTGCTGTACCATACGAAGGCGAGCAATCGAGAGCTTCAATTGGACCTTGAGTTTGGACTTTGGGAAGGTTAGCAGATGGAATCTAATTTGTATCTGTATCAAGTATGATAGACTCTGAAAGTACGAGTACTCACGATTATGGTTGAAGAAGGGGCCATCGTGATAGAATTAATCGATTCTCTTGATGTTGTTGCGTCTGTCGTTGTCATACTAGGAACTTGGTAAGGTATTAATCGCGGGGCACTAGGCACCCGACTACTTGGCTGTGGCTGGGCGTGCTGGGATTGTGAATCATGTATACGGGGAATCAATGTGCCCCTGGGTGCAAATTCAGCACTGTTCCTACTCAGTACTGTAGATAATATAAAATTGGATCCATCATTGGGCATCTTCTTTCTTTTCCCTGATGTTATTTTTAACCATTCGCTGCTTCATCTGTAAATATACTTTTCATCTGTTTTTTCTATGTTTTCACTGGGTATCTAATGTTCTATTTTCCTCCACCTAACTTTCCCTCTTTCCTTTTGTTCAAATAATGCCTTACGATTCACGACCAACACGATTGCAACGTTCCAGACCCTTGTCAAGTCCTTAATGCGCCGCAACATACATACGGTGTATACATGATGGGGAAGTCAATATGGAGTCCCAGAAAATGGGAGGAATGGGCGGAGAAGAGAGCGACGGCGATATGGACCAATTTACAAACGAATAATTTGTGGCAGCGGATGCTAAAAAATACTTTGGCGACTACAATCTGTATCATCATCGCCATCATGCCACAGGTGGTAGCTGTATATGGAAAAGCCGCATACCTTGCGCCAATAACCACAGTTTTTGGACATCCAGGGAGGCGTTTTGGTATGATGGCAGAGGCTCTAATATTGACTTTATCAGGAACAATGCTTGGTGTAGCTTGGTCTATGCTCGCATTGTACTTGTCGAGTCTTGTGTATCACAGTAATCCTCAAGCAGCATTTACCATTCGAGGGATATTTCTCGCTATCGCGTTGCTCTTTCATGGAGTCCTCAGGTCGCATACACCACGTCTGTTTCTTATGGTGCTACTCCTAATTATTGTAGTTCTTGTCAGTATGACTAGTACAGCTACGGCAGTTACAACTCTTTCAGTCACTCAGCTGGTCTACCCTATCACAACTGCTATTGCCGTTCTACTTGCTGTGAACACTCTTGTTTTCCCAGAATTCTCCAGTAGCTTTCTAGGAATCACCACTATCGAGACCCTTGGCGAAACGGTTGGAGCTCTGCGCGATGCCGGACGATACTTCATTGCCATTACCGAAGGTTCTGAGAGTGCTATAACAGATACCAGATTAGAAAACATTGTTAGTGCATGTGGGAGTGGAAACGGTGAAGACCTTCATAGACCTCCGACATTGGCAGAAAAGCCACCCGAGAAGTCCAGAGTCAATGGCTTGACCTTGAGGCAAAAGATTCTCTCCTTTTTCCAGAAGGCTCAAGAACCGCCTGCGCCACTTCCAGCAAACGTCGAGAAAGGCCCACAACCCGTAAAGTTAAAATCTTTGACAGACAAAAAGGCCAAACTGCGTGCAAAGTTGGCAGGATGTAAGGCAGCGCAACAAGAATGCAATTTTGAACTTGCGTGGGCAGTTCTTCCACCAAGAGATGTGAAACCTATCAGTGACATCGAGATGAAGAAACTTGTGGCCAATACCATCGCTTTAATAGGGGCTTGTGAAAGCAAATATGCACTAATGGGGGACGAGAATGATAAGAATGAGTCTGGGAATAAAGATGGAGCAAAGCTCAAAACGGTTGCCGAAAATGGTGGTGTCGAAACCCCAGAGGCGGAGGATTCATCACGACCAACGACAGACATGGATACATATGATGAAAGAAGTTCAGATGAGAAGAAACCTTCCAGGAAGGAAAGGCGCAAGCAAAAGAACAAAAGAAGAAAGGACAGAAAAAAGGTCAAGTCTTTGATCGAGAAGGAAATGGAGAATTTGGAGTTAATCAAGCCGAGGAAAGAAATCGAGTATGGTGATATTGATTTGTTGAAGTATCTTGTGAATCGTATCGCAAAGCCATTGTCCAATCTCCAAGAAAAGATTGACAGAAGTGTTGACGTTGTTTCGTCCTCCCTCGCTTATTGCTACGATGTCCCTAAACTCCCGTCAGGAATTCGAGCACCTGCCGGGATTCGACTTGAGGAGATTGACATTCGTGTCGATATTTTAGTCGACGCGATTGCTGATTTCGATAGAACTTCAGCAGCGGCATTAGAGGGTGCTGCAGCGCTACACGATCTAGGCGGGCCTCAGGTTGATATAATGCCTCGCATGGAGACGTTCTTGATTTCCTCATTCTTGTTGAATCTTCGTCAAGCCGCCTTGCATACACTTGGAATGCTTAGACATTCTCGGGTTCTAGTCGAAAGACGACAGGAACTACATGGTCAAAAAAGAATATATCTTCCTCAAATTAATTGGAGGAAATGGCTTCAATCTGGTGGTGAAACCGATATGTTAGCTTTACCCGATAATGCACGAAAGGATGCAAGAACAGGTAAAAAGAAAGAAGATGCTGCAGACGATGCGGTAAGCATTCATAGTGGAGAAACACTACTGGCCACAAAGGACGTGGAGTCAGCGATCCCTAAAAAGGAAACCCCAGTACAACCACCGAAAGTTGCAGATGAACCTGTAAAGGAGAAGAAGAAAGGAACGCTTATGCTTCGATTCCGAAATAGGTCAGCTGATATTATCGAGTACTTGGTTGGTAGCGACGACATCTCATACGCCATCAAATTGACTGTTGCCGTCTTTATTGTAACTTGGCCGGCTTTTCTTGTTCAGTGGAATACTTGGTATTCCTTGAACAGAGGCCTTTGGGCTGCCTTGCAGTTGGTGGTCATTACAGAAGTTGCCATTGGAACCTCTGTCATGACTTTCATGTTACGTGGTGTTGGTACAACCATTGGGTGTGTGTGGGGCTATGCAGCATACCAAGCTGGCCAGGGCAACAAAATAGTCGCTGTAGTGATGATAGTTATTGGCATCATTCCATCCACCTACATTCAGCTTGGATCTAAATACATCAAGGCGGGTATGGTCACCATCATCTCAATGTCGATAGTAGTTCTTGCTACCATAGATAAAGTTGTTCCCGGTTCAGCTACCGAGAACTTTCTGAAAAGGCTGATTGCCTTCTTCATTGGTGGAGTGGTGGCCCTCATTGTGGAAGTTGCGCTCTTCCCGGTCAAAGCCCGCGATCGTCTTGTGGAGTCCCTTGCGTGCTCCATACGCCAAATCACAGAAATGGAAGCATGTCTAGCCTATGGTATCGAAACGGAAATCAACAACGTCAATGTTCGTTCTCCAGCCGTTATATCGCGATTTTCCATCGCCAAAGCGAAGGCCGAGGGCGCTCTAGCGGCTGCAGAAGCATTCCTTCCATTCTGCGCTAATGAGCCACGTCTCAAAGGTTCCTTTGCACCTCATGCTCTTATCTATGGAGAGATTCTTTACGTATTACATGCTATTGTAGATCGTATGGAGAACATGCTTATCTTACGTCACGAATATGGGTCTGGTGTTCTCGAAGAACTCAATGCCCAAGTTTATCCCTATCGGCGTAATGTTGCTGGATCTATTACGCTGATTCTTTTCGCGACTCACGAAGCTCTCACGACGAAACTTCCTCTTCCTCAGTTCTTGCCCTCCGCTCGCCTCGCTCACCTTCGCATGGTTAATCGTGTCCGAGAGGTTGTTCTTTCCTCCAACCTCAAAGAGTCTTCACACGAACGGTCCGAAATTGAAGTCTCGATGGTTAAACGATTTGTCCGCCAAAAGTTCCTATCTTGGAATGCAGCCTCCGCTGGTCAAATTGAAGTTATTGAATATCTTGAAGAACTCATCGATCTTGTCAAGCTATTAGTGGGAGCAAATGAGTTTAGAAGTGGATTGTTGACAAGAGGTACTTATAGAGAGTGGGTGGATAAGATTCAAAGACCTGATACAGTAGAATCAGAGATGCTGCCCGCTGATGGAGCTGTGGAGGAAAAAGAACCGCAAATGACATCGGGTAGAAAGAGAAGGCCAACGTTTAGTAATACGAGAGAGAAAATCTTTGGACCAAGTGCTGGAAATGCCACTAATACACGGCCCGACAGCGCAAGGCCTGGTACCGCAAGACCTGGTACGGCGAGACCAGGCACGGGATCGAAGGCCGCAACGATGGAGAAATTGGAGGTGGAGAAAGAAAAGAAAGACATGGAAGAGGAATTGCCAAGAGTTTTACAAAGGGTTCGCACGAGAAGAATGAGTGAAATGAAGGGTATGGCAGAAAGGAGGAGTAAAGAGGATATGGGTATTGGTAATGCTGGGAAAGGAAATGGATTAGGGAAATAAATGTTCACGAGGAGTTTAGGCTTTGTTTTATAGATGATTCGGCTGGGTACAGGTTTATAGATTTTTAATGCATACACATAATCTCCTATCATTTCAAATGAATATATATATCATCTATCTTTTCATATGAACATAATTCTGTATATACATAATATAAACACTTTCAAAGTAACATTTAAGGAAATTTAAAAACCCGGCGCTGCACCCTTGCAAACGCTGAACTCCGATGCCGTCATGATGTTTCCGCTTCTTTTTCACTTCTCTTACGTATATATATATATATATATATATATGCCATGCAACTCGCTAGCAAGTTGGCAACAGGGGATAAAAAAAATCATCATCTCCTCCTTCTCTCTTCATCAAATAACCATGGAATTCTTGATAGCATGGCGAGCCAAATATGTTCAACCTCACATATCACAGATCAAGATCAAGATTCATGAATCAAGATCTACCCACTAGCATCAAACCAACTCCTATCCCTCACGCCTAAATCAACACTTTCCCTTCCGCTTTCCTTTCCACTCCCACGCAACAATCTCTCCATCCTTCTCGAGCTCTTCTCCTGCTTTCCTTCGCGAAAACATTCCTTCTCCCCTTCTTCCAGAAATATCTCTTCAGTTCGCGCTTGTAACTTCAATTTCTCGCTGCTGCGTTGCGAGTTGTGCGATCTGGAAGTTGAATTTAAACTTGCATTCGAATTTGAATTTGAACTTATGGTGTCGAAGCGGTCGATTAGGGGTTTGATGGTTATGGATACAGTGGGTTTTGTGGGGTTTTTTGAGGTGGGTGGGTCAGGTGGGGAGGGGTTGGTGTTGGTGTTTGTATCTGTATTTACATTTGTATTTGTATTTGTGAGGAAAGGATTATTTGATGTCGTTTCACGGAGATCGGGTTCTGGGGTTCCCATGAATATAAAATCCGAGGGCATGATGGATATTCCGGGTGTGGTGGATATATAGATCATTTTTGGTTTGATCTTCGAGAGGGATGTTTGTTTACTGTGATGATATCGTTTGGTTTGGCTGCGTGGTATTTCGGATGCGCTGGCGCTGGCGCGGCGGCGCGAGCCATGGCTTGTGAGGGTGTAGGTTGACATGGGGTAGATGGTGGGTATGGTTGGTAGAGGCGGTATGTCTGTTGTGTCTTCTGGGGAGGTAGGGAAGGTTTGGAAGGTGGAGATGGAGGCTTGGGAGTAAGTAGAGCTGCGGGCGCCGAAGGTGTGGAATGATTGTGCGGAAGGGGATGGGAGGGGTGGTGATATAGGGGATATGAAGTTGGTGGTGGTGGGTGTGTGGGGTGTGTTGGGGATCGAGGCGATGGAGTGGCGGGATGGTGTTGGGAAGGCGCGGGGGTAGGAATAATTGTCGCTGACTGAGAGAGAGCGTGCGAGGGTACCGTAGGGAATACCGGCGGTTTGTGGGGAGGGGGGCATTTGGTGTGGAAAATCTGAAAAAGGCCTGTCGAGTCGGGCGATGGTTTTCACGGATACTTCTTGTGGAGGTGGAGATTTGGGTAGAGGTTGGTGTGGGGTGTTAGGTCTAGATGTCGATGACAGGGTTATGGAAGGCAAATCAAGTGCCGGTAGCGAGGGCGGTAAAGATTCCCGTGATAAGTTGATGCGATAGTGATGGGGTGGGAAGAGGGCACCCATAGGTTCGGTCATCTCTGGAGTCGTGGGTGAGTTGGCTGTGGATGTTGAAGGCCATCGTACTGGACTAGTATCGATCCTACCAACCGGCTCGGAACTTTGTCCCACTCCTCGTAGATTTTCATCTATCGTAGCAAGGTGGTCTCGTGCGTCTCCCCAAGACTCATTACGACTCCTGTGTTTAGGAGATATCGGCGATATGTATGAAGTAATTCGCTGAGTATGGACCCTAACTGATTTCCGAACGCCAATTCCTCCCCATTTTAAAATTTGCGTATCATTTCCTTGAAGCTCCATTGGCTTCTTTGCAGTCCCATCTTCTTCGTCGAGGTTCTGGAACCTGCCGCCAGTTGAATTTTTTCGGTTTGCTCTTCGTTTCCGTAACAGTCTTGCAATGAAGGCAAGTATTAATAAGGTGGCCACGACGGCCAAGACGATCATACCTATCACGACATTGCTCAAACCCTTACCAGAAGAGCTCTGTGAAGATGTCGAGGTGATAGATGGTGCACTAGTTAGTGACGTTGGCGTAGATGTCGCGGTCACTGACTTAGAGGCCATTGAAGAAGATAATGTTGAACTACTCGAAGTTTTAATACTCTTTAATGACGTCGTGGAAGAGCTTGAAGCTCTTGATGTTGTTGAAGAGGATATGGAAATGGAAGATGTGGGGTCATTTATGAGGACACAAATTTGGCCAACGACCTTTAAAGTAGCTATAAAGAATTAAACATGGAATCAGGACGACGTAAAGTACAACTCACTGCTAGCATCAAGCAGACTACACGAATTTTTAATACAGCTGGTCGCACTGGATACTGTTGAACCCTGCGTTGGGCTTCCACTTTCATCTGCACAAAAACAACTAAAATCCCCAACACCACATCCAAGCGAGCCTGTAGCTATGTCCAGACAACTGTCAGAACACGAAGGAAGCGAATTGATCTCGTCAGAAAGAGACTGAGTATTAACCAAAGTCGAGAACCAAAGAAGCATTAAACAATATGAGAAAATCATTAGAAATCTACATTACTCGTAGTACCAAAAGAGAAACATCAACATCGCGAAAGAAAGCAGACGCATATCATACGTTGGGTATCCATAGATCTAAATTCAACATGTCGAGACCCCGGTATGGTATGACATGGAAGACATGGGAGAGATGGGAATAGAATAAGCTCTAAAACTCGGATGATGGGTCAAGCAACCTATTACCGCACAGTATCCACAAAAATAAGAGTTTGAATAAGTCAACAGAGGCGCAGCCCGTCAGGGCCTAATGCAGATATTCTCTTGGATGTCCGTCAAAATTAAACAATTGGATTATATAAGAGACTGCTTGGAGGGTAGGATTAAGGATTAGAGTACCATCAGTGTGGTCCGCGTCTCCAGGCCATCGGAAACTAGCCGTGAAACGCGCCTACACAGACACCTTATGCTATATTAGGTTTGGAGGTCGGAAATTATCCCACAAGAAGTACGAACATCAACAAACCAAAGAGTTCATAGAATTTCCTCAACTCTTCCTTGCGCTTAGATCGACCGGTAAGATCATTCGAAGCATAATTGCAAATGGCCAAGGGAACATCAAAACCAACAAAGCTAATTCCATCCAGAGCTGATGAAAACAGTGATGTAGGGATGAGTGGATATTACAGCATTACAATGAATTGATCCACTGCATTCGCATCCTCGAAGGATCTAGACATCGACATGTATCCCTGTCTCTTCCACGCTATTTGAGGAAACTACGGAGTACAGAGCACCGAGTAACGTGTTCGCTCGATTCAAGGGCGCTTCCAAGAACCCGTATGTAGTCTTACATACTCTGTACAAACCTATGAGCATAAAAAGATAAGACAGAAAATGCCACGTCTGAAACATCTTCTAGAATGCGAATTGGAAGCAAGAGAAACACAACTAACTATACATGAGACGAGCAAAAGAAACTCCACAATTTCAAAAGGATCCTCCATCTCGAGCTCCTTCTTATTCTTCATCCGCTGAAAAACCTTCTTCAGCAGAAACTAAACTCCTAGGCACCTACACCCAATACATATCAACAAAAGCAAATTATACCCCAAAATGCAATTTCCACGGACACACTCAAGCTCTAGAATCAATACTATAATAGCAAAAGTAATAAAATAACACAAGCAACACGGAAATACCGTCTTTTCCTAAACTCAAAATATGCATTGAAACCGATCGGTACATGTTCAGCGCACCGCCGATATCCTCGTATAGGTATTTTTGATAATAATATCATAGAAAAGGGATCAAAAATCCCATGACTTACTAGCTGTAGGTAACAAAGTAACATGCGATGTGATGTAATATGATTCATATCTGGCTGTCCAGACCGAGAAAGAAAGAATGTAATTGTCTTATCTTGTGGTGTCTAGCATAAGTTACAACCGGCACTCTAGAACTCCTCTCCTATTCATATAATATAACCTTAACCGCCCATCGATCTTTGTCTTTCGCTTCCCGAATTTTCTCTCCTTCATTATTAAACCTTATAGAGTAAGTAGCTCAGCCGGTAGCCTTAACTGCTCTCCACCATAGCCCTCACACACTCGGGGGATCGTCTCGACAGTATTCACATTCGAAGTTACACATGGCAAGACAGTCATTTATCTGCGTTACATTATCTAGACTCTCTGCAAATTAATCCTACGATCTGCAATTGGACGCACGTGAGATTATCCATATTCAAACACAGCACAGCTCTAGAATATGGACTCCTCACATATTTTACCCCTGTCAGAATTGAGGATTTGGAACATTTTCTCTTTTTCCTGTACTACATCACCTACAAGCTTTCTTTAGACTCTGAATCACTAAAATTATAGGCATTTAGAGGCTTTCCAAGCATAATTATCCAACTCCCAATTGAACCAACCGCTACGATATTTTCAAAATTTTGGATAAACTAGCCTATCAGAAATAATTGAAAGTATGGAACCCAGAACTTTAATAATTAATTTCGAATATAGTTGATGGAAATGAAGCCGCCGTGACATTTCACTGGTTTGTTGATGAGCGCACTGTGACTCTCGGCGGGCTCGGTAACGTTGCTTATATAATCAATTGCCACATGAAATATGGGGCGCTTGGCGTTCCACAGCCAATCTGAGCTATGATCTTTGAAAAAATTGAATATATTATATTTTATTGGCGTTATATTATAACAACAACAACGACATCTTTGATGGTCTAACGGTCATGATTTCCGCTTGTCACTCATATGGCAATGCGCGGGAGACCGGGGTTCGACTCCCCGTCAGAGAGTCTGCTCAAACAATTCTTTGAATCTCATGTATAAATTTTTCTACTTTTTGAGGGCGAAGATTTCAACACCGTCTACAATAGAGGTTTTCCGCTTGCCAATTCAGCCAGCTGTCTCTAGCGTGATTGTTATTTTAGTGCAGTATCGCTTACCGCACTGGGACCTAATCCTATTTAATATGGTAGCGTACCGCAATTCACCCGATGTAGATCGTGGAAGATGAGAAACTCGCTTAAGTGAAGCTCGATCCTGACAATCTGATTAGTCTAAATTACCCCGGCAGAGAATCTCCCTGTTATTCGGGGTATTGACGAATAATCAGGACCCCTGATATCTTTCGTAAAAAGACTCATTGTTATTCCGTTATGCTGATCGATTCCAAGCATCGTCTGTCCAGTTAGATAGTGATGGTGGCGACATTAACTCTCTCTCGAATCTGGGTCACTGACAAACAAGTTACCAACGTGTAGATAGTTTTGATTCCCTTCCGCTATGATACGCAAAAATGCTGAGTGAGAATATTGGAAGTCAACCTAAGTCCGAGAATGTTCCCTGCCCAGCTACTGCGAGGCTGATGAGCGAACTTATCAAGTCACATGATCCCTAGCCTAGCTTGATCTTAGTGCCAAAGGTGTCTTTGCACTTTGTTTTATGATATCATAAGGTAATTATTTATTGAATGAATAATGGCTGGCTCCTTTACCTGGCTACATATACTTTCAATTTTCAATCAAACAACATCCTTCCTCTAATACAACATCAAAGCATCACAACATCAAAAACACCATATTGCTTCTATCAAAACATTTGCTACCTTATAGTATCTCTTTCTGTAATATGAACGTCATTAAGAAACCGTTCGTTACCCCTCCTCAAAGCTTTATTTCCAAGACACCTATTACTCCTCCACCGACCGATAAGAAGATAACACAAACAGTATTACAGATCGTGCAGGAAATCAAGAGATG